AGGCTGATAACAGACAGTTGGGATCGCGGCGAAATTCTCTCTGCAGACCCATTCTCTCTGCAGACCCATTCTCACAGCGTTTATCAACCTTTTTCTTACTCAATCTCAAGCCACACTTATTGTTTTTACTTCGGCTGTGACTTTGTGTGTGCTCAGGGTGAGTTTGGCTGTGTTTCGCTGTCGCTAAACAAGGAAACAACACCTCCACGGAGCTCAGCGCGATTCACAACGCCCCGACCAATCAGAGCACACTGTGCTCACAGGGAGGGTGGGGGCTGGAGCCAGAGTCCTGCACGGGTCTGATTTTCAAGACCCGCTCCCGCCCCGCACCCGCGACGTACAATACCGAACCCGCCCCGTTACCCGCACATATTGCCAATTAGTTCCGCAACCCGACCCGACCCGTCGGCACAAGATCCGCAACCCGACCCAACCCGCATAGCCTATGAGCAGTGAAAACGTGCAATTATTAACACACGCAGTTGCATATTTGTCTCAAAAAGCGTGGGATGTTGGTTATTTTCTCCAGGATGACACAAAAAGCCTCCCAGACGTTGGATTTCGCTCTTGAGGAAGTGTTATTGAAAATGCTGTATTCTCCGTAGAGAGCTTCACCTCAGCCATTTCGAATGTGGCGCGCACAGCAGCAGATTGATGCGCTGCAGAGGTTACGATTATGCGCGGTCCCGCGGGGGAGAGGTCTGAGGATTTAAACATTAAACTAAATTATTATTATTTTAATATATTTATTATGCAATACCCGTGACCCGACCCGCATCATCTTTGTTTTACCCAGAACCGAACCCGGAAAAAAGCGTTTGAAAAAATACCACCCGCGAATCACCTTTTTTGCGGGTCACCCGTCGGGTACCCGACCCGATGCAGGACTCCGGCTGGAGCTACTGGAGCTCCAACGAGCCGTTAAAGGCAGAGATTGAAATTCAGTGAATACACGTAGTTTACAGAGATGCTGGATGAGAAACCAATGTGAGTTTGGAAAATTGCACAATATAAATGTATTAGACCTCAACAATGGAATTATGATCAGTGGAAATGACCATGACATGTCTCCTTTAAAAAAGTACTCCTAATATCAACTTGTTACGTGTATAAAAGACACCTGTCCACAGAATCAGAATCCAACCTCTCCACCATGGGCAAGACTAAAGAGCTGTCTAAGGACCTCAGGGACAAGACTATAGACCTCCACAATAAGGCTGGGATTGGCTGCAAGACCATCAGAAAGCAGCTTGGTGAGAAGGAGACAACTGTGGGTGTGATTAATTGGAAGAATAATGTGTGTGTTTCTAAATGGAAGAAAGACAAAATGAGCATCAATCGCCTTCGGTCTGGGTCTCCACACAAGATATGGCCCCACGGGGTATTGATGATCATGAGAAAGCTGAGGGATCAGCCAAGAACTATACGGGAGGAACTTGTTAATGATCTCAAGGCAGCTGGGACCACAGTCACCAAGAAAACTATTGGTAACACACTACACCATAATGGATCAAATCCTGCAGCGCCCGCAAGGTCCCCTGATCAAGAAGGCTCATGTACGAACTGTCTGAAATGTGTCAATGAACATCTGAATGATTCACAGAAGGCTTGGGACAACGTGATGAGGTCAGATGAGACCAAAATGTAAATCTTTGGCATCAACTCGACACGCCGTGTTTGGAGGAAGAGAGATGCTGACTATAACCCCAGAACACCATCCCCACCGTCAGGCATGGAGGAGGAAACATTATGCTTTGGGGGTGTTTCTCTGCTAAGGGGACAGGACGACTTCCCTGCATCGAGGAGAGGATGTACGGGGCCGTGTACCTTAACATCTTGGCCGATAGCATCCTTCCCTCAGCCAGGACACTGTAAAGGGTCATGGAGGGGTCTTCCAACAGGACAATAAACCTTAACATACGGCCAAGGCAACACAGGAGTGGCTAAAGAAGAAGCACATTTAGGTGATGGAGCGGCCTAGCCAGTCTCTGGACCTTAATCCCATAGAAAATCTGTGGAGGGAGCTGAAGCTTCCAGAGGCCAAGCATCAGACTCAAAACATTCAGGATTTGGAGAGGATCTTCAGAGAGGAGTGGACCAAAATCTTTCCTGAGATGTGCACAAACCTGGAGACCAACTACAAGAAGCGTCTGACCTCTGTCAGTCCAACAAGGGTTTCTCCACCAAGTACTAACACATGTTTTGCAAGGGGAACAAATACTTAGTTCCCACAGTTAAATGCAAATCAATTTGTATCTTTTATATAATATACATTTCTGGATTTTATTTTTGATATTTTTACTCTTACTGTTTATATAAACCTACCATTAAAATTACAGACTGTTCATTTATTTGTAAGTTGGTAAACTTACACAATCTGCAGGGGATCAAATACTTATTTCCTCCACTGTGATTGATGAAAGTAGTGAAACAGTCAGATTTGACCTGAACACACGACAGGAGGGTTAAGATAACTAAATGTATCTGTTCTTTTATGAGGGTTAAAGTGGGGTTTGTTGTGGGTTAAAATATTTTGTTCAACAAAACAAAGAAAAGCCTTAGTTATCCTTTAATATTCAGTGAACCAGGTTTCATGTGAGGATTTAGGAGTGTCACAAAAGGAGGTTGTGTCTTCCATCCCAGCCATCCCTGCCCAATCACTAGTTAGTTTACAATAACTGTGAAGACACACACACCATGGACCTTCACACACACATACAAACACTTCAACCCCTCATAGAACCACAGCCACAAATGAATATAAACCAAAAAGTATTGATCTTTTTCTAACTGCCTTTCATTAACTCCTATACCTTTGTAAATGTGTACTAGCACCCAGAGCCGGCCCGACCCATTAAGCGACATAAGCGGCCACTTAGGGCCCCGCAGCCACTAGCACAACAACAAAAAAAAGATTTATTTTTATTTTTTTAAATCTCAGTACACCGTCACCGTGATAAGTATGTTTAATTAATGTTGTTAATATGCCTAGATTGCCTACTCTCAAAGTCATGTATTATATTATTGAGTCACTCATATAATACATTAACCGTGCTTTACCTGAACCTCATCATGACACAAGAGAGGACGGCAGGATTATAATTTCCCGTGTTCGGTGAATGCAACAGAGTCATGACACCAGACCAACCAGAGAGTTGAATGGAAATAAACATCTTATTGGCTGACAGGTACCTATCCTGTGAGCTGTGACAATGTTTAAAATAAACTGTCAGTCTCAGACTCAGAGTTTTTGAAGATGGACATAAGAACATTTGTTCTTAAAAAAGACGACAATTCTCAAGTGGTGGTTCACACAACAACCCCAGAGCCAGCACTTGAGCCAGGAGAAATTACAACTACGTTGACGTTACTTTGAATCGCGGGGGTAAGCTAAACCGTTAGCAAGTAGCTATAGCTAGCCAGATATATTAAATAAACACTTTGTCATAAATGTTGTGTTTTTTAGCGTTACCTGGTGATTTTAAAGAAAGCTCTCTGGGAAATGTTGACTTACTGTTGGACATGAAGCTAGAAGCTACCTTACAGTACACAGTTGATCCTGAGTCCTGTCAGTTAAAGTGTTTCATAGTTAGCTTAGCTAAGCATCAACCTAGCACTGAAATATATGGATGTTATGTGACAGTATTTCTGAGAAAGAGTCAGCTGAAATGGTGGCATAGTTGCCACTGCTTTAGTATCGACAGCAAAAAAAAAAAAAAAAGTTTTCATTTTGTATAATCATTTTGCGTAAAGATGGCACTCAAGGGCACACTAGTGGTGGTGTTCCTGGCGGGATTTGAACTCACAGCCTTCCGATCTTCAGCCCACCTCACTATCCATTAGATCAATCACTACCCTCTCAAATGGAAATATGTGTTTACATAAATGGTGACCACACTGTTTGAGACCCACTGAGAACTTAAACTAAGTTAACTATCTAAACACTCAGAGAGTCCTTTACCTCACCTGAGCTGAGGTTATCCCGAGCTTGAATGACACACAGAGACCAATCAAGGGCTTTGATTTATGATCTCTATGACAGTGGCCATGTCGGCAGGCCACATCATGTAGACAGCCAGTCACCCTGTGTGAGGCAGGCCACTTAACGAGGCGAGATCAGAGCGAGGGATCATTGTCCACAAGTTAATCGATCGCAGATGGCGTCGTGGTCACGGACGAATAAAAAAAAATAAATACAAAAAAAACTTATAAAAAAAAAACCTGGGCGGCCCGCCCAAGTATAGTCTATGTGTGGGAAACCCTGGACCCCCCTAGAGGAGGTGAGGACCCCCCTAGAGGATGTTAGAGGATGGGGGGGGCTGTGGTGCAGTGGATTAGTGCGTTGGTGCTCGGATCAGGGTGTCACAGGTTCAAACCCCACTGCAGTCAGCATGTCGTTGTGTCCCTGGGCAAGACACTTCACCCCAAATTGCTCCTGTGGGGATTGCCCACAGTATTGAGTATGTAAGTCGCTTTGGATAAAAGCGTCTAACAAGTGACATGTAATGTAATGTAATGTTAGGTCCACGGTGTTTACATGCTTATTTATACAATATGTGTGCTTATGCTAACATCATAAGACAAAAGTTGGTTCCGTGTTGTGTGAAGTGAGAACGCGCTAGAGTGAGGGGGGCCCCCAAGCCAAAGCTAGTCTAGGGCCGGCCCTACTAGCACCTTCTATTGTATAATCTTCTCTTTGCTGCTACAGTATGACTGCTTTTCATTTCTATGTTTGTTATTGTAACTGCATTGTGAGAAGACTGCAAAAAGTGGTCGTACTTAGTGTGTCACTCGGATTGATTAGAGACCCTTTGTGTTTGTGTGTGTGTGCGTGTGTGTGTGTGTTTGTATGTGTGTGTGTATGTGTGTGTGTGTGTGTGTATGTATGTGTGTGTGTGTGTGTGTGTGTGTGTGTGTGTGTGTGTGTGTGTGTGTGTGTGTGTGTGTGTGTGTGTGTGTGTGTGTGTGTGTGTGTGTGTGTGTGTTTAAAGTAGTTAACAGTCTATCTGTGGTCACAGTCCACTGAGGCTTCCAGTCAGTCATCATGGCTCGCTGGACGCTTCCCAACTTTTTATTTCTCTTGCTTCTCTGCAGCTCCTACGGAAATGTTCCAAGAAGGTACGTCTGAAAGTTAAAATATTAGTGTTGTCAATACTCAGTAAAAGTCCTGATTTCAACAGTTCTTTTGCATGAAAATATACTTAAAGTACAAAAAGTACTCGGCCCTTTCAGAATAATATTAAGTACAGAAATATAATCAGATAAATGTACTTCAAGTATCAAAAGTAAAAGTAGCTGTTAAGCAGAAAGGATATTTTCACAGTATTATATTATTATGGATTATTATAAGAGCAATCTAGTTTGTCAATGTGGACCAAATACTTCGAATACTATGCAGATTACAGCACTGCATTACACCATATCAGCATATCATGTGTTTTTAAAAGAAACTGTGAGTGTTATATAAATGAAGTGGAGTACATTTTTGCCTCTGAAAGGCAGTGGAGTATAACGTAGTATTAATATGCCTTAGGTACAATACTTTGTATTGTGCAATATACCCTCATGAAACTAGTACACAGTACCTCTTTAATTCTATATGTCACTTTTTTTAAACAAATACTGCTTCCTTTTTACCAGGGTGTACTTATATGCTATTTTGTTTTTGACTTATGGTGTTCTCTTATTATTAATATTGTGTACAAACTAAGTAATTGTTATAATATGTTAGTCTATTCTCCTCACTTCACCTGCGCTTTCTGCTCATAAGGTAAATGTCCCCGTTGCGCAACAAATAAAGGATTTCTGATTCTGATTTCCATCGCTGGTTTTCTGCTGACTGTAAAGAGGATATATTTAAAGCTGTGTTTCCTCTCTAACTAATGGGTCTGTCCTCTTTACAGACCCAGCTGGATGGACAGGTAAGTGTTTGCACAAAGATCACATGTTTAGTTTTAACCTCTGTCTCTGACAAGTTATGATTTCTGAAACTGCTCCCCAGATTTACACCTATCGAAACTTTCTGGGAACTCCACGAGTAAGTAACTAAAGCTGCACTTAACAGAAAACAACAGGTAGTATAATATTTTTAATTGTGAAAAAATGTGTTTAATTAAACTCTATGGAAATCAATAAAACTAAATTAATTAAAACATGAATTCAATATAATCATCGCTGGTGTTTGAATGACAGGATTTCCATCATTGATACTGAATTATCATATCTTTCAATGCCATTTTTACATATCTGTGTTACTAAAAATGACCTTATTAAGGTGGGACAGCTCTTAAAAAGGCTCTTTCTCCAGTTAATCCCAGAACATAATAAGGTTAAGCCTATTCAGTGGTAGATACATGATAAGATTAGGGTTGGGAACCGAAACTCGGTTCCAGATGAGAACCGATAAGAAAATGCCGGGTACCGGGTACCCATACAAAATACACAATTTCGGTTCTGCTTAACGGTTCCTAAACGCGGTAGACCCTGTATTCCAGCGGGTCCGTCTGCACCGCGGTGCTGCGGTGACCCGGTGGAATACAGGGCGGACCTGGAGAATCACAGAACGTCCGGTCGTCAGCGGGCCGTTGACGGCCGGCTCGGTACGCTGACGGCCGGCACCGCCCTTCATTTTTTTAAACGGCATCATATAAATTGCGCTGACAGGCGACAGAGGTCCACAGTTGCCCCGCAGCGATGCTCCCCCGCCCTCCCGTAGACATTTCACGAGCTCAGTCACTTCATAACACCAAAGATAGGTCGCGGTAAACACTCTGAAGTGAGGCTCCACTACACTAAAAAATAAAAGGCAAAGTGTAATGCCTGTTAATAGCTTGCCACAGGCATAGCTCAGTTAAAATAAAGCACAGCTATTGTGCAATACATTTGTATTGCATGTATATTTTTTAGTAACAATTTCAGTTAAAGCTTTTAAGAATAAATATATTTTTGTTATCTAAACGTTTGACCTCTTTATTTTACAATTTTGGAATCGAAACGGGGAATCGATAAGAACCGGAATCGATAAGCAGAACCGGAATCGAAATCGGAATCGATAAATTTCAAACGATACCCATCCCTAGATAAGATACACCATGTTTGAGAAGAACATATAAATACATTCCTACATTCTTATTTGACTGTTTATACATCATGTAATTTCCTATACATGTCTCTACCTTTCCCCCTCTCCTTGTCTTGATACCATATGACTGACATTGCCATGTTATAATACCACACATTCATAAGTGTTTTGCCTCATTTTGCAGAGTTGTGTCATGAATAACAATAATATCGATTCTGTTTTTTTTTTTTCAAGGATATCAAAAGAGGTCAGTTCTGAACCAAGGTACGGTTGCCATATGTGTGTCCAAAACATTTTACATTTGAACGACTTTCGCAGGATTTGCAGCGTTTGTATTCACTTCTGAGATCCAATCTCTTTGTTGACTTTCTTTCTTGGAATTTCTGTTATCTTTCTGTAACAATTGAAGACATTTAAGTGTTATTGTTCGTGGTTTATGGTGGATCTGCAACAGCAAAAGTAACGTAAAAGTCGTATTCAGGGTCAGATATCAAAGTCCAATTGTGACCTGATACATAATGAAACATTTAAATGAAATTGATTTAATTTACATAACTGTTAAAATATTTGTGTGAATGTTATTTCTTAAAGTATGAATAGTAATGTGGAAGGGACCACACAAAGATATAGATATTTTAATTAAAGTGAATATACATTTTTAAGGCATTATTATTATTCTTATAAAAAAGTGATTATTCTCCACACATCTCAAATGATCTGATCTGCTGTTCACTGACTGGATAATTCTCCACGTTATGCCATGAAGTATGATGAGTGTGTACATTGGACATGTACAAACCTAACACCATTTTTGTTAGTATTTGTGACAGATTTTATGAAATGTTCCTGTAAGCACCATAATAAATGGCAGATATTTTTCGAGTATTCGTATAATTACAATCATTGTATGTTATCATGCTCGTCAGGAGTAGCAAAAGTAATTGCGGTAGTCCCTATTCTGCTTATTTTCAGGTTCATATTAGTATAGTTTCTCAACTTTAAAGAGTCCTCTCCTGCTGATGTTCAGGTGTATATCAGTATGTAGTGTCTCTACTTTAAAGAGTCCTCTCCTGCTGATGTTCAGGTGTATATCAGTATGTAGTGTCTCTACTTTAAAGAGTCCTCTCCTGCTGATGTTCAGGTGTATATCAGTATGTAGTATCTCTACTTTAAAGAGTCCTCTCCTGCTGATGTTCAGGTGTATATCAGTATGTAGGGTCTCTACTTTAAAGAGTCCTCTCCTGTTGATGTTCAGGTGTATATCAGTATGTAGTGTCTCTACTTTAAAGAGTCCTCTCCTGCTGATGTCCAGGTGTATATCAGTGTGTAGTGTCTCTACTTTAAAGAGTCCTCTCCTGCTGATGTTCAGCTGTATATCAGTATGTAGTGTCTCTACTTTAAAGAGTCCTCTCCTGTTGATGTTCAGGTGTATATTAGTATGTAGTGTCTCTACTTTAAAGAGTCCTCTCCTGCTGATGTTCAGGTGTATATCAGTATGTAGTGTCTCTACTTTAAAGAGTCCTCTCCTGCTGATGTCCAGGTGTATATCAGTATGTAGTTTCTCAACTTTAAAGAGTCCTCTCCTGCTGATGTTCAGGTGTATATCAGTATGTAGTGTCTCTACTTTAAAGAGTCCTCTCCTGCTGATGTTCAGGTGTATATCAGTATGTAGTGTCTCTACTTTAAAGAGTCCTCTCCTGCTGATGTTCAGGTGTATATCAGTATGTAGTGTCTCTACTTTAAAGAGTCCTCTGCTGCTGAAGTTTCAGGTGTATATCAGTATGTAGTGTCTCTACTTTAAAGAGTCCTCTCCTGCTGATGTTCAGGTGTATATCAGTATGTAGTGTCTCTACTTTAAAGAGTCCTCTCCTGCTGATGTTCAGGTGTATATCAGTATGTAGTGTCTCTACTTTAAAGAGTCCTCTGCTGCTGATGTTCAGGTGTATATCAGTATGTAGTGTCTCTACTTTAAAGAGTCCTCTGCTGCTGATGTTCAGGTGTATATCAGTATGTAGTGTCTCTACTTTAAAGAGTCCTCTCCTGCTGATGTTCAGGTGTATATCAGTATGTAGTGTCTCTACTTTAAAGAGTCCTCTCCTGCTGATGTTCAGGTGTATATCAGTATGTAGTGTCTCTACTTTAAAGAGTCCTCTCCTGCTGATGTTCAGGTGTATATCAGTGTGTAGTGTCTCTACTTTAAAGAGTCCTCTCCTGCTGATGTTCAGGTGTATATCAGTATGTAGTGTCTCTACTTTAAAGAGTCCTCTCCTGCTGATGTTCAGGTGTATATCAGTATGTAATGTCTCTACTTTAAAGAGTCCTCTCCTGCTGATGTTCAGGTGTATATCAGTATGTAGTGTCTCTACTCATGTCTCCATGCTTTAATGTTGAAATAGTTCTTTATTGTTCTCATACTGCCTGTGCTGCAGCACCTCTTTTCACCCTCTGTATGAAACCAGAGGCCAGTCTGCTCTGATTTAGCCTTTGCAGACCATTTACATGTACAAAAACCTATAGAACACACTACAGGAAAGACAGAAAAAGCATAATAGGGCCTCTTTAAAGTTTTGGCAGCCCCCGCATCGTTCATGAATATTTTCCTGCAGGTTTACTGTGCTAGCTCCAGATCTGCTGAGGACAGACAGCCAGGAGAACATCTTCCTCCAGGCAGAAGGTCTGTCCTCCCCCGTGACTGTCTCCATCTCAATCATCGACTTCAGTAAGACCACCACGCTCCTGCAGGACTCCGTCACACTGAATCTGGAAAATGGATATCACACTCTCAAAACTCTTCAGGTAGCAATTAATAAAAATGTCGAGTTCAAAGAGACATGTATTGGCTTAGAAGTTTCTAGAGCAGCCAACATACATATATATATACAGCTAACATTCCAACATACGGGGGTTTTATTTCAGTGAACAAATAATCCAGAACGATAATCCATTTGTCAAGATGAATCAATTTATTTTCCATTTTCACTATACATCTCTCCTTCTGAGTGTGTCTGGTTGAACTGGTTTAGCTTCCCTCGTTTAAAACCAACCCCTTCCCCATAAACAGAGATACTATAGCAAATAGGAGACCAAGGGGTGTCAACAAATATATTCAGGGGCGTAAACAACTAAGGTAAGTAGATATATATTCAACAATTAATATCTGTAGGCCGTGTATACTAATAAAGCAAGACATATTAAACAATAAAATAAAAACAAAACGTTATAATAAACTCAGTTAATGGCTCGTACAAGACATGAGTGTAAATTGGCAAAAACTCACTTGTCTTAACCACCTATAGTTAGAAAATAAATCTCACCATGGCACTCATATACACACATATAACTAAAGTAAATACATTTGGAAAGCAACATGGAATAAAACACAACAATAACTGGGTAAATCTAATCCTCCCCCAGCTCTCCTCTAACCGCTTGGAGCGCGAAGAAAAGAAGAACAAGTTTGTGTATCTGAAGGTGGATTTTGTTGGCCACCACTCGATGGAGAAGATACTGATGGTGTCCTTTCACTCTGGATACATCTTCATCCAGACAGACAAGCCCATCTATAAACCCGGAGATACTGGTGAGAGCTGGAGACACTGATAAAACAATCCAAATGTATAATAAGAAGAATGGAAATTATATTTTATCTATAATCTGGCATGTAGCATCTCTTCAATTTTTGAGATGTATGTCTTTTTATGCATGGTCCTTGTTTAATAAATACATATAATACAATAATAAATAACATTACCGCAATGTAACGTAGAATGTGCGATGAAACTGCTGCTTCTGTTTGATCCAGAAGGTTTGCATTGGATTAGATTAAAACATATTTTCTTTCCAGCAAAAATACGCTGTAGTTTAATCCACTTTTTTGGTATGGATTTAGTGTAACTTGTAATAGCAGCAGGAGATGTATGAGGAGCAGTTATGTTAATAATGCTAATAAAGGCTGCTGTACATATCGTGAATATTTTATTTTGGGTGTTTTTTTGGCTGATTTGTGTCTCTTTCCCTCTCCAGTTCGTTTCAGAGCGTTCACGTCCTCACCTACTTTTAAGGCCTTTAACAGCTCCGTCACAATAGATATCCAGGTAAAGAATTAAAAACAAGACCATTTAAAAACATTACCTTGGTGCGTTAAGGTGCATTTTTCAAAACTATATTACAGTCTAAAAGCTTAGTAGATGAATTGATTTTTGCAGGCCTGGTTTATGTAAAGTTTAAGTATAGATGTTGAAATGGGATATACAAAAAAGAGAATCTTAAGATGTTCTACCTGGTGCAATGCTTTGGCAACACAACAGGTCATAGGCTTTGATATTGTGTTAGCCATAGCTGTTTTTAGCTCAATCTATGTTAATGAATTGGGAATATGTGTGTGTGTGTGTGTGTGTTTGTGTGTGTGTGTTTCAGAATCCCGACGGTATTGTGGTTAAACAGGTCTCTAGGATCCAAGCTTTTGACGGCGTTTTTGCTGACACTTTTCCTCTCTCAGAAATTGTCAAGTAAAAGCCTAATTATTTTAAATATTTTAACACCTTCCACTTTATGTGAACGTAGGTGTTTATCATTTATACATTGTTTTACTTCGGCAGTGAAGGACAATGGACAGTGATTGCAAAATTTGACCACTGGGAGCAGAACACCTTCACCTCCCAGTTCCAGGTGAAGAAATATGGTAGGTCAACTCAAACAAGACGTATGTTTTTTTCCTTTAGGCATCACATCTTTCCATATCTGAGTATCACTTTTCGGTTGAGGTCTAATGTAGCATTTTTATGGTGTGTTGTGTTTCAGTGCTTCCTGCCTTTAATGTTACTCTGACGCCCAGAAAGTCCTTCCTCGACCTGGATGATACTGAACTGGAAGTAGAGATCTCGGCCAGGTTTGTCCAACACACACACACACACACACACACACACACACACACACACACACACACACACACACACACACACACACACACACACACACACACACACACGCTGGTTTCCATGTGCATTGAGGACCAAGTTTCTGATCATCACTTCAGGGGACCACCCTTTCTAGAGGGCCTAGAGGTCTGAAACAAATCAGGGACACTTGCCCTTGCTTAGTTAACTCAAACATACGTTAAAACATACTAAAAACAAAATAAATATAAAATGATGTTATCCCCATCACTAAGGATAAACCCAGTAGAAATGGTTATAGGGGACCAAAATGTACATACATTTGCATATATTTGCATACACACAGATTTCAATGTCACTCCTGGGGACATGTCTATAATGTCCCATTTTAGTCAGTGAGTTTATATATTTGTTTACCTAAGCCTGTGTTTTAGCATTTAACATGTATTATCAGATGTTTCACTACAACAAGACATGTAAAGACATGGAGACTAAACAAAATATATGTTTAAAATAAACCAACATTGAAAATTAGGTATATGCTTGTCTCAAATTACAAAAAGTATTTTATTCCAGAACCTTTAGTCTTGAGTGACTGAGTCTTATATGTGTGATAATCTCTTTGATATCAGGAGTCACTGAAGTACCAATAATGTTGTCTAACCACACCTGCCATACAAGTCAAACCTTAACCTTCTCAAAGCACACTTTTACATTTCACACAGGTCAAAAGGGTTAACCAGGTCAACCACCTAGCCATGAATAGTATCAAAACACTTCGTTTATCATATATATACACACACACACACACACACACACACACACACACACACACACACACACACACACACACACACACACACACACACACACACACACACACACACACACACACACCACTGAAACCCCTTAAAGTAAACCTCAACCTACCTTGCTCAATCTTGCGCTTCATTTTTTAAAAACCTATTCCCAACTTTAACTCTTGCTGTTAATGATGTCAGGACTTATGTCTTGAATGTTGTTGTATTATTGTTGTATTGTTTTAAGTGTCGGACCTCAGGAAGAGTAGCTTTTGTCAAGAGCAAAAGCTAATGGGGATCCTAAATAAACATAAAATTAAACATAAACTTGAACTCTTAAACCATATTCAAATATCTCTGAAATATCTTTTCTTTTTAATGACTGATTTTAAATGCCATTTTCTTAATGTCTTTCGTTGTTTGTAAAGCACTTTGAATTGCCTTGTGTTGAAAGGTGCTATATAAATAAACTTGCCTTGCCTTGCCTTGCCTTTAACGCCAACAAATAAGGACTGAGGCAAGATATTTTATTAAATAAAAACATGTTCTGAAATTTGGAAATTATTACATCTATCTGTTTTCAATAAATGTGTCTTTTGAGACAAGTGCAGAGATGAGTCGGGGCTGTGTGAAAGGGGGATACATGGGAGTCCAAGTTTTTCATAATAATATTTCAGAAGTTTACATTATTCTCATACTAAACCACAGGAACATACACACACACCTTGTTTAATAGGATATCTGATGAATATATAGGGATTTTCGAATATGTACGCAAATATTAAGTGCTCACTATTGACTTCCCATTGTGCAAGGGCAATGAATCCTCATACTAAAACACAGGAACATACACATAAACCTTGTTTATAAGGTTATCTGGTGACATAAGGCTATTCCTCCCAAATCTTCAGGTCTATTTGAAAATATGAAGTATGAAGACTTCTGATTGTGTGATCGTTGTGTCTCAGATACCTGTATGGGGAGCCGGTCCAGGGCACGGCCTATGTGGTGTTTGGAGTGAAGATCAACCAAGAGATGAGGAGGTTGCCTGCAGTGAAGAAAGTGACAGATGTGAGTCACTGCTTATTGTGAAATACTAGGCTGCTGTCACTGACTACATACACATGCACAACATATTCATTTTCTTGCTATTTATCAGATAAAAGACAATATGCCTACTGAACTGTGTACGTGGCAAACATTGGTGTTGGAGGCGGTCAATTCATTTCTGGAAAAATTCGAAGTTATAGTAAACTAGAAATCTGATGATTTACTTTCTGTATTCTTCTTTTCCTGCAGCTGGACGGAGGAGTGGTCAAACTGAGTATCGAGGAGCTCAAACGAGCTCACCCCAACATCAGATCTCTTGTGGGTAGCTCTGTGTATGTGAAGGCCTCAGTGCTCACCAAGTCAGGTCAGCACCTCATGTCAGAAAGTCAACCCTGTCACTAATCATTTCCCATCCATAAAATGTATCTTTCTTAGGGACAAAAACTAAATGTTCTGTGCAGTGTTATTGTTGTGTTTGTATTGTTCCTCTCGCACCACATATTAGTAAGACTAAACTCTCCGAAATGTCGCAATGTAGAGTTTGTTTTTTCAACATAAAGGACAGATCGATACTTTGGTGAGTTGCAACCTGACCTTTAGCCATGTGGACAAAATCACGTCATCAAAAGGTTAACTCTTCCCTATGACTCAGGCTTTTGAAAAATGTGGGGCATTTTACGAAAAGGGTGATTCATTCGTTTTAAAGGTCAAAAGCAAAAGTCCAGTTGAAGATGAATTCTGCCCTTCTGGGGAAAGATATCACCAAAACAAATCCCCTTCACCAGATAAGTCTCACTTTTTATGTTATTATTATTATCTAACCTCCTGCTTGAGATACCTTAAAGTGGCCAAGACCTTCAACGGGCCCTTTGAATATCCCAAGGTCATCGTCCTTGTCATCCATCTCGCTGGCCAGCACATTGCTCTGTTGCTACTAACAGTGTTGGTCCTTCCTCTTCCAACATCCATCCACGTGTGGGATGGAATCTGTTCCAGGTGTCACCGGTGTGCAATCAGATTACTACCTTTTTCCTCTGGACGCAGGAATAAGAAACTCTTTTCTTTTTTTGAACCAATGAACTCTTTAGCCTCACCTCAGACTGCAAGTGGGTTCTCCAACTCAGTTAATAAAGTATAGAAGTGGTCGTCATGCCCAGGCGATGAAACAAACAGGCATGGCAGGGGAATTGGTAGGAAGTTTGAGCGCAGAGGTCTGGCTCTTTTCATCCTGTTAAACCCCAAGGTCCCCGCCGGCGGTGACCCTGGGTTTTCTTTCACAACACTGTGTCTCAAGATCTTAATATTTAAGAACCTATTAATGTGTTATACCAGATTAACGGGGATAATCTCAGCTAACTGACGATACGAACCATTTTTACCAAAACAAAACACAAGTCTCATAAGAAGCATCTAAATGACCCCTTAGCGAAAAATGCTAACGGACATTGGCACAGAACTCAAGATAAAAGTACCTTTATTACTTATCGTAGATGCACATACAAGATATCCGATTAAAGCTGAGGTTCCACAGATTATTTAGGTTTATAGTATCATCACTGAGTGATCTGAACTCGCAAAAGGGGAAGCAAACACAGACATCACAACACGTACCTTTACGTAGCTTCTAGGGAGATCGTCTCACCGTAGCTGTCAATCTGATCAAAAGACGTGTTCAATGGCATTACAACGAGGAAAAACGCCGCTGAATCGGTTAATCCATAGGTTTTTAACGTCTCTGTATAAACAAATTATTTCATTTATAATCCATAATTCCATTTTTATGTAAAAATCACAGAGCAAAAGTTAGCTGCTAATGGTAGCCACCAGAGTGGCTGCTGCTTCCGGTCTTGGATATGCAGCAGTCTAACACACACACATTACCAAATAAGGACTAGGTGGGAGTTCCCCTCGATTCCATTGGCTCTGACGGTCAGAAAGAGAGGTCACATGTCAAAATCCAGCAAGGGGGGCCAGAGATATGGAAAATCCACCCAAATGGCCCCAGAAGAGGTTTTTTTTTGCTAAATCTGTCTAAAAAGGTCAAATATCACTTGTTTTGCATCAATCTTGATACAGGGTACTTATTATATGTTGTACTTTGGATTCCTAAAGCTTTTAGTCTACTAACCCATCATCCAAGGTTAGTTTTTCACTATAAATACAAAATATGTTTTGGACAGACACTATAATTTACAGTTTTTTACCATGTTCAATCTGAATTTACTTTAAAATAAAAAACATCTATATTGAATCTGACTTTTCTACATCCAACTCACAGGTTTATCATTACTTTGAGAAAAAAGATTATTAATTTAACCCTTTTAGAAGATATGGTCATTTGTTCTGGGAATGTCATTTTCGAGCCTGAAACCTGAAAAACAGGCTCAGGGTTTAACAGGCTAGGTAAGACCCATCCACAGAAGATGTTGTGACGTCCAACTCCAATGTCTTCCTAATGACACCGTCTGGGTACCGACATCACATGTTGCATGTTTTATCGTTGGATCCCTAGTCTGTCTAGCTGCAAAAGTGCTATTGTACACGCCTCCGAGTGGACGATTGACTCCACCTTTGAGTCTCGTCCAGCCAACACAGAACTCTAGATCACATTAGATGTTGCCTCCAGCTTCTTGACTGGATCAAGACTGACAGCTGGATCATGACCACCCCCCTGTAACACACGATGCCTCTGCCAAGCAGGATCGAGTAGTGGTTGCAGTAAACACTTGGAACTCCACCCTCATCAGGACTGCACCCAAAAACACACCTAATCTGATCTGACTGGGATTCCACAGCAAATACAGTTAGACCGATTTGTTGCTTTAGGTTTGATATCATTACATTACATTACATTACATTGCATTTAGCTGACGCTTTTATCCAAAGTGACTTACAATAAGTGCATTCGACCAACAAAATACAAACTTGAAGAAAACAGAATCATATAAGTACATCAGGCTTCATAGAGCTAAAACATTTCAAGTGCTACTCAACTGGCTTTAGATAAGCCAGTGCTTTGTTAGTAATTCTATCGCTCGAAGTGGAGTCGAAAGAGATGAGTTTTCAGTCTGGAAGGTGTGTAAGCTATCTGCTGTCCTGATGTCAATGGGGAGCTCATTCCACCATTTTGGAGCCAGGATAGCAAACCCACGTGTTTTTGCTGATGGGAACTTGGGTCCCCCTCGCAGTGCGGGTGCAGCGAGCCGTTTGGCCGATGCAGAGCGGAGTGCACGCGCTGGGGTGTACGGTTTAACCATGTCCTGGATGTAGGAAGGACCAGATCCATTCGCAGCATGGTACGCAAGTACCAGTGTCTTGAAGTGGATTCTAGCAGTTACCGGAAGCCAGTGAAGGCAGCGGAGGAGCGGAGTGGTGTGGGAGAATTTAGGAAGGTTGAAGACCAGGCGAGCCGCTGCATTCTGGATGAGCTGCAGAGGTCGGATGGCACATGCAGGTAGACCAGCCAGGAGGGAGTTGCAGTAGTCTAGGCATGAGATGACGAGAGCCTGGACCAGAACCTGAGTCGCTTTCTGTGTCAGCTGGGGACGCATCCTCCTGATGTTGTAAAGCGTGTATCTGCAGCAGCGGGTTGTAGCAGCGATGTTTGATATGAGGAGACATTAGCTGCATTTGACAAAAGACCACCAGTTATTAAAACTCTCCACTTCCAATAACTCAAGCAAACAATGGGACATTAAAAAGGGAACAAGTTGACCTTAAGACAACAAAGAGTGGTATAACATGGTATAAAAAAGTCTACATCTCACAGGGGAAACTTGAGTCTGGCTCCCTGAAAGTATCCAGGTTTGTGGTTATTGTTATTTATGACTCTGAGTTTCCTCCTTTACAGGCAGTGATTTGGTTGAAGCAGAAAAGACTGGCATTAAAATTGTGGAGTCTCCGTATGCCATATCCTTCAAAGAAGTACCAAAGTACTTCAAGCTGGGCCTGCCCTTGGACTTCACAGTAAGGACCATCTTCTGTGTCTATGATCACTTTGCAAAAAACTGGACTTCTGTTTTTGTGCAGTAAAATGAAACACCACAAGTGGATCCTCTGTGTCTTGGGTCAAAACATTGGTGGAAAACTGTACTCACAGAGGTTCATTTTCCCCCAAAAATGTCAGATCCAAGTGAGCCAACATGACGGTTCTCCAGCCAGAAACGTCATAGTCAAAGTGACATTTCTAGACACGCCCTTGGTTGTGTCCTCCGGCACCACCAGAGCCAGCGTCAACATGCCTCCACAACAACGCGCACAAACCATCACTGTGAGTACGACTGCATTCTCACAGAGCCTTGACCCAGCTTATCTTTACGTTATTAATCATTAATCTATAGACAAAACTGCTCTAGTAAAAAATGCGATGTGAAAGTTTTGCTTTTGCTTTAGATGACAGCACATTTACTTTTGGTTTTGGATTAAACAAGCGACTTTCTACTGATTATTAATAATCTCAATCTAGTTGTTTTCTAAACAATAATCAAGATAGTCATTATGTGCAGTCGTGGGTTGGCGGAGTACTTTAGGTTATTTTTCTAAATGTGCAAATCCTGGAAAAGAGCATATTTTAAAGACATTATTGTAATAATAGACGTTATTATCGTTATTGACCCCTGAGATACATAATGGCTATTCGTGTAACGCATTAAACAATGCTTTGTTCTCTTTACATGACAAGTGATTTAGCTGACACTTTAATGTAAAGCAGCACATACTTCAATACCGTTGACATGCCTCTGTGAGCAATTTTGGGTTTAGGTATCTTGTCTAAGGAACCTGCAATGGCTGTGGATCGAACCTCTGATACTCTGATTGGTTGACGGCTACTCACCCCCTGAGCAAAAAGCCAGTAAGGCTACCTTAAGGATTATCAAAAGCGAAATCTCACACTTTATTTTGTTTTCCTTCTGCTTCCCAGGCTGAGACGGTGCAGGCTGGACTCAGACCAGAGCAGCAGGCCAAACAACAGATCACTGTTCAGCCGTTCGCCGCCTTTAGAAGCCGTACACCGAACTACCTGTACATCTCCACAGGGACCAGCACAGTCTCTGTTGAAGACAGAAGTCTGTCCCTGAAGATGAGCATCACTGTTGCAGACCCGACATACAGACAATACATCACACACATCACCTACCTGGTGAGACAAGAACACAGAAGTACAAATCCATTACAGCCCATTTCCAATACACATGGAAATCAGGAAGTACAAGTAGAACCTTCAGCAACAAAATCGTAAAGAACTAAGAAAATAAAACGTGATGATCTTGGATTTCTCCTCAAAACAATAGGTGCTGAATAAAGGCAAAATCATTGTTGCTGATCGTGTGGATGTGGCAGGTCAGGTGATCACCAGTGTCGAACTTCCTATCACCCCGGAGATGATGCCCTCTTTCCGCTTTGTGGCGTTCTACAGTATCCCCTGGTATGGGGGTGAGGAGGTGGTGCCGGACTCCATCTGGGTGGATGTGGAAGATTCCTGCGTTGGAGGGGTGAGTCATCGGCTCGCTCTCAGAGTTGTCTTGGCTTATAGAGTTGTCTTAGCTTATAGAGTTTTAACATGCAAGTCAGGAAAATGTTAATAAATCAACGGAGAAGAAGGGTACATTTCTTATAGCCTCCCACTCAATCACACTTCTTTTTGCAACCAGAGAGGTCGCGCCAACAGGGACAGACTTTAACAGCAATATATTTTACAATTTTGGTTGATTTAAAATGTCCTTTGGTCTACCATCTCGTGTCAATTCTACGGAGCCCCCTAGGGGACATGGAGGAGAAAAAAAATGTTTTGAAAAAAAATAAATAATAATGTTTTGCGAGATCTCGCAAAACCTTTCATTTAGCTCAATGTACTTCCTTGTCAGTTCGGCTGCTACGGCAACACAGAAACCACAACAATGGAGCGGTTCATCGATTTTACTTTGAGCTTGGCCTTAAATATAAAGATATAACATCAGTGCTTGGCAATAGCACGGGTTTCACACATAGACTGTATATATAAAGGGTTTCACATAAGTGAAGACACCTCAAGAGAACACTCAGAGCGAGGGGACATGCACGTCCCTCTGAGCTGAGTTATTGACAGATTCGAATTTCGCGGATCAATAACTCATGAACATAACGTTGTAAAAATACAAACAACATGACTTTACAATCATATCAAGATAGACAACGAGCTACAGAGTCGTTTTTATCAGAACAGTTCGATACGTGCCGTCATCCGAGCTAAACATCAAGAATTGGTCACAATCTGCAGCTGGAGGAGGGAGACGAGTGCTTAGGGACGGTTTACAAACTGCAACGGGGTTTTGCGAGATATCGCAAAACCTTTATTTATTTATTTTTGTTCAACATTTATTTATTTTCTTCTCCATGTCCCCTAGGGGGCTCCGTACAATTCTGATAACAAACAAGATGGAAAAATAACATGAATGGTTACAATGAATACGTCTCTAAACATTGACGTTCCGGGATATACTGAGCCTTTTCAGAAAAAGAAGCTTGTTTTATAGATTTGAGTCTTAAGCAGGAATCAACGCGTTTGAGTCCCGACTGCGTAAAGAAATCAGAAATGATTGGGTGACATATTGATGCTGTTCTTTTTGTGGGGTTTGTTGACAATAAGACAATTATGGAACAACGCCTATCTTATATCCTGGTCTTGTTTGAAAGACAAGCTATCCAGAAAATTAGATATTATATTCTGTTTTTCACTATTTTGTTTATCTCTCACAGCTGAATGTCGGGCCGGTGGACGGCGTAGGTCAAGACTACACGCCTGGAAAGAGCTTTAGTTTCCAGATCAGAGGTGACCCGGGGGCAAAGGTCAACCTGGTGGCCGTGGACAACGCTGTGTTTCTCCTCAACAGGGACAGACTTACACAGGGGAAGGTGTGTGTGTGTGTCTGTGTGTGTTTTTGAGGGAGAAAGTGTGTTATACACATTATAAATACAAAGAGTGAGACAATCAATCCATGGCATAATGTAGAATCTGTAAAGTCTGCACATTTAACTACCGCTACTTTAAATGATAAAATGAAGTATCGCATCTGCAACAGATAACATTTAATATAAGATACAGCACAACCATTTTTTAGCATGAACCAGATCACTCCGGCTTGAGCTTCAATCTCAGGATCCATGCATTTATTATCCTCTCCAGAATGGAAGTAGTCCTCACATACAGAGCATTTGGTACAACTAGTTCCTGAACAGTGTCCTTCACATGCTGATATCCAAGAGAGGGAGTTACACAGTCACAAGATGGAGGAATACCGGTTCTTCTAGGTAATCATACATCCTGTCATGTACAATACTGAGTTTCTTCTCAAAATGTTGGCTTTTTTATGAAAATCTCAAAATTCGGACTCTTTCTCAAAATTCTGACTCTTTCTCAAAAGTCAACAAGTTTTGAAGGTTCTGTTCACTACGTGTTTTTGTTTGTTGTTTTCTACCGAGCTCAAAACCCCTAACCCTAACACATAACCAGATTTGGGGCGCGGTGGAGCACGGAGACATCGGCTGCACCCGAGGGGGAGGCCAAAATGCCCTGGCGGTGTTCTCAGACGCCGGACTGCTCTTCGCCTCCAGCACCGGGCTCCAAACTGTTTTCAGACAAGGTACCTACGAGCATGGAGCCACGACACGCTCAGCCCGGGTGTTTGGTGAATTTGGGCTATTACAATATTGTAAAAATGTTAGTGATATGTTTAGTTGGCCTTGTTTTGATTATGTTTCAGTGGGTGAAACACTGAATTCACTTGTTATCCACTAACTTTCCCTCAAGCTGGTAAGCAAAACACAGAGTTCACAGGATAACTTTATATCCTGTGTTTTAAACAAACTCCCTTCTTGTTCTTGTCATCCTATATGAGTCATTATAGTAGTTATTATTGCTTCATTTTTGTATTAGCAATTAAAAGTCTCTCAATTAAATGAATTGGGGAGAAAAGTGCAAAGTCTTTACAATATTGTTGTATAATGACCTGTTTTAATGAGATACAAGCTGTTTTTACGACCTTTTCCTCGAGTAAGAAACATCAGATGGATGTTAAAATAGTAGCACTACAGTATACCGTGTAGGCAATGTGTCTTTCTCACCTTTCGTCACAGTAAGCCGTTGGAGTCAAAGTGTTGTTTGGTAGCTGAAGGCCATGTTTACACTGTCTGTTTGCTAAAAGTGAAGAAATACTGGAGCTTCTAGACCCTCTGTCCTTAAACCCTCTGTCCTTAGACCCTCTGTCCTTAGACCCTCTGTCCTTAGACCCTCTGTCCTTAAACCCTCTGTCCTTAGACCCTCACATCGTACAAGGAAACACTTCCGGAGAAAACCCACAGTTTAAAGGGAAACATGGGAGAAACCTCCTATACTGTTGAATTTGACAAACAGTAACTCATATGACGGCTAATTGAATGCCAACATGTTTGCATTGATAGTGTAGCGTGGTACAGAGTGAAGTAGCCCTCCACTACATATTTTAATATGAAAGTATTTTATTTTGTTCTGCAAAGAGCACAAATATGTATATTATTATCCCAGTTCGCCACACACACACACACACACACACACACACACACACACACACACACACACACACACACACACACACACACACACACACACACCACACCACACACACACACACACACACCGTGACTTCACTCAAGTGTGTGTTACGTTCTCTGAACGTTTTCACGCGAGACTTCTCTATGTCCCCAACACAGTGTAGCGAACGCGCCCTCTGCTGGTCGGAGTTAGACACTACATACTGCTAGATAACACGACATTTTTCAAACAATAAACCAACCTAAATGCAAATCATGTTAACCATGTAATTACTAATAATGTAGGTATATCAACCCACTGATGGCTCTGTATGCCACAATAGCACGCTTTGGATAGCAGTTATCCTTTGCCTATATGCATTCAAAAGAAAAGAGAAAGTCATGTTAAACTCTCGTGGGCACTAAAACTGTCCACTTAAACCGTCAAATACCTGTAAATAAAATTATTAATAGGAAAGCATCTGAATATTTTTGAGTTTGAACATTTCCGTTTTACATTTCTTACATTCTTGATATACGGGAGGCACAAGATTTTTTTAAAAATAACTGGTCATATTTGATCATTTATGTAATAAAAAAAAGGATTTATATGATAACGGTACTGATTAGCAACACGATGATCTATTGTACATTAAAAAGACTAAGGACGTCTATCTCCTCTGATCAGCTCTGAAGTGTCCCGGTAGTGCCAGAAGGAGGCGCTCTGCTGAAAAGCTGCAGCGTAAAGCCCAGCTGGGTGAGTACAAAGATTAAAATAACTGCATTCATTGTCTGATTATGGAAAAGAAAATCTAAAATGACTGGCTAATATTTTTATATTTTTTGGTTTTAGCAAAACGTTGCCTTTGACACATCCAGCAGAAAGAAACATTAAATCCAGTTTGAGTTGTTGCACAGCTTGGTTGAATACTCGATTCTGATTGGTCTATTAGGACATCAGTGTTTGTTTATTTTTCGTTGTTTCATTTACCTGTATATATATTTTCACATGTATATAGACTTCGTGCACAATTTTTTATTTTGTGTTTTTGTATTTCATTACAGTATATATGTTGCATTGTTGGAGGAGCTCAGGTCAGAAGAATTGCATTGTCATTTCTACACTATAGCTATGAACATATGACAATAAAACCTTTGAATCTTATTGAGAGTACAGATACTCGTGTTTAAAAATACTCTGGTAAAAGTAGAAGCACTGACTAAACTTCTTTACTCAAGTCAAAGTAAAGAGGCTTTGAAATGTACTTCAGTAAAAAGTACCCATAACTAGCAGCTGTTTTAAAGAGTACCTGACCTCCCTTTATATTAATAGAACAATAATGTCATTGTTAGCTAATGAATGTTTCCATGCTGAACAACGGCAACATGACAACGTTTCCATTGGTCCCTCTTCTTTAGAGAAGACCAGGAAATGATGGATACACGGATCGTGTTCAAATCAATAGGCACGCAATGACTCTAAAGAATAATGATCACGCATCAAACACACATTCAGACTAAAGGAACCAGCTGTTTGGAAAATGAGAGAAGTAGAAAGTACAGGTATTTGAGTTCAACATGTAAGAAGTAGAAAGTACAGGTATTTGTGTTCAACATGAAAGAAGTAGAAAGTACAGGTATTTGAGTTCAACATGTAAGAAGTAGAAAGTACAGGTATTTGAGTTCAACATGTAAGAAGTAGAAAGTACAGGTATTTGAGTTCAACATGTAAGAATTAGAAAGTACAGGTATTTGAGTTCAACATGTAAGAAGTAGAAAGTACAGGTATTTGTGTTCAACATGAAAGAAGTAGAAAGTACAGGTATTTGAGTTCAACATGTAAGAAGTAGAAAGTACAGGTATTTGAGTTCAACATGTAAGAAGTAGAAAGTACAGGTATTTGAGTTCAACATGTAAGAATTAGAAAGTACAGGTATTTGTGTTCAACATGAAAGAAGTAGAAAGTACAGGTATTTGAGTTCAACATGTAAGAAGTAGAAAGTACAGGTATTTGAGTTCAACATGTAAGAAGTAGAAAGTACAGGTATTTGTGTTCAACATGAAAGAAGTAGAAAGTACAGGTATTTGAGTTCAACATGTAAGAAGTAGAAAGTACAGGTATTTGAGTTCAACATGTAAGAAGTAGAAAGTACAGGTATTTGTGTTCAACATGAAAGAAGTAGAAAGTACAGGTATTTGAGTTCAACATGTAAGAAGTAGAAAGTACAGGTATTTGAGTTCAACATGTAAGAAGTAGAAAGTACAGGTATTTGAGTTCAACATGTAAGAATTAGAAAGTACAGGTATTTGAGTTCAACATGTAAGAAGTAGAAAGTACAGGTATTTGAGTTCAACATGTAAGAAGTAGAAAGTACAGGTATTTGTGTTCAACATGTAAGAAGTAGAAAGTACAGGTATTTGAGTTCAACATGTAAGAAGTAGAAAGTACAGGTATTGAGTTCAACATGTAAGAAGTAGAAAGTACAGGTATTTGTGTTCAACATGTAAGAAGTAGAAAGTACAGGTATTTGAGTTCAACATGTAAGAATTAGAAAGTACAGGTATTTGTGTTCAACATGTGAGAAGTAGAAAGTACAGGTATTTGTGTTCAACATGTAAGAAGTAGAAAGTACAGGTATTTGTGTTCAACATGTAAGAAGTAGAAAGTACAGGTATTTGAGTTCAACATGTAAGAAGTAGAAAGTATAGGTATTTGTGTTCAACATGTAAGAAGTAGAAAGTACAGGTATTTGAGTTCAACATGTAAGAAGTAGAAAGTACAGGTATTTGAGTTCAACATGTGAGAAGTAGAAAGTACAGGTATTTGAGTTCAACATGTAAGAAGTAGAAGTACAGGTATTTGTGTTCAACATGTAAGAAGTAGAAAGTACAGGTATTTGAGTTCAACATGTAAGAAGTAGAAAGTACAGGTATTTGAGTTCAACATGTGAGAAGTAGAAAGTACAGGTATTTGAGTTCAACATGAAAGAAGTAGAAAGTACAGGTATTTGGGTTCAACATGTAAGAAGTAGAAAGTATAGGTATTTGTGTTCAACATGTAAGAAGTAGAAAGTACAGGTATTTGAGTTCAACATGTAAGAAGTAGAAAGTACAGGTATTTGAGTTCAACATGTGAGAAGTAGAAAGTACAGGTATTTGAGTTCAACATGTAAGAAGTAGAAAGTACAGGTATTTGTGTTCAACATGTAAGAAGTAGAAAGTACAGGTATTTGAGTTCAACATGTAAGAAGTAGAAAGTACAGGTATTTGAGTTCAACATGTGAGAAGTAGAAAGTACAGGTATTTGAGTTCAACATGAAAGAAGTAGAAAGTACAGGTATTTGGGTTCAACATGTAAGAAGTAGAAAGTACAGGTATTTGTGTTCAACATGTAAGAAGTAGAAAGTACAGGTATTTGAGTTCAACATGTAAGAAGTAGAAAGTACAGGTATTTGAGTTCAACATGTGAGAAGTAGAAAGTACAGGTATTTGAGTTCAACATGTGAGAAGTAGAAAGTACAGGTATTTGAGTTCAACATGTGAGAAGTAGAAAGTACAGGTATTTGAGTTCAACATGTAAGAAGTAGAAAGTACAGGTATTTGTGTTCAACATGTAAGAAGTAGAAAGTACAGGTATTTGGGTTCAACATGGAAGAAGTAGAAAGTACAGGTATTTGGGTTCAAAATGAAAGAAGTAGAAAGTACAGGTATTTGGGTTCAACATGTAAGAAGTAGAAAGTACAGGTATTTGTGTTCAACATGTAAGAAGTAGAAAGTACAGGTATTTGAGTTCAACATGAAAGAAGTAGAAAGTACAGGTATTTGGGTTCAACATGTAAGAAGTAGAAAGTACAGGTATTTGAGTTCAACATGTACGACAGTAAGAAGTACAGGTATTTGAGTTCAACATGTGAGAAGTAGAAAGTACAGGTATTTGAGTTCAACATGTGAGAAGTAGAAAGTACAGGTATTTGAGTTCAACATGTGAGAAGTAGAAAGTACAGGTATTTGAGTTCAACATGTAAGAAGTAGAAAGTACAGGTATTTGTGTTCAACATGTAAGAAGTAGAAAGTACAGGTATTTGGGTTCAACATGGAAGAAGTAGAAAGTACAGGTATTTGAGTTCAACATGTGAGAAGTAGAAAGTACAGGTATTTGAGTTCAACATGTGAGAAGTAGAAAGTACAGGTATTTGAGTTCAACATGTAAGAAGTAGAAAGTACAGGTATTTGTGTTCAACATGTGAGAAGTAGAAAGTACAGGTATTTGTGTTCAACATGTGAGAAGTAGAAAGTACAGGTATTTGAGTTCAACATGTAAGAAGTAGAAAGTACAGGTATTTGTGTTCAACATGTAAGAAGTAGAAAGTACAGGTATTTGTGTTCAACATGTAAGAAGTAGAAAGTACAGGTATTTGTGTTCAACATGTAAGAAGTAGAAAGTACAGGTATTTGTGTTCAACATGTAAGAAGAAGAAAGTACAGGTATTTGTGTTCAACATGTAAGAAGTAGAAAGTACAGGTATTGGGTTCAACATGTGAGAAGTAGAAAGTACAGGTATTTGTGTTCAACATGTAAGAAGAAGAAAGTACAGGTATTTGTGTTCAACATGTAAGAAGTAGAAAGTACAGGTATTTGTGTTCAACATGTGAGAAGTAGAAAGTACAGGTATTTGTGTTCAACATGTAAGAAGTAGAAAGTACAGGTATTTGTGTTCAACATGTGAGAAGTAGAAAGTACAGGTATTTGTGTTCAACATGTGAGAAGTAGAAAGTACAGGTATTTGAGTTCAACATGTAAGAAGTAGAAAGTACAGGTATTTGAGTTCAACATGTAAGAAGTAGAAAGTACAGGTATTTGTGTTCAACATGTAAGAAGAAGAAAGTACAGGTATTTGTGTTGAACATGTAAGAAGTAGAAAGTACAGGTATTTGTGTTCAACATGTAAGAAGTAGAAAGTACAGGTATTTGAGTTCAACATGTAAGAAGTAGAAAGTACAGGTATTTGAGTTCAACATGTAAGAAGTAGAAAGTACAGGTATTTGTGTTCAAAGTGTAAGAAGTAGAAAGTAAAGGTATTTGTGTTCAACATGTAAGAAGTAGAAAGTACAGGTATTTGTGTTCAACATGTAAGAAGTAGAAAGTACAGGTATTTGTGTTCAACATGTAAGAAGTAGAAAGTACAGGTATTTGAGTTCAACATGTAAGAAGTAGAAAGTACAGGTATTTGAGTTCAACATGTAAGAAGTAGAAAGTACAGGTATTTGAGTTCAACATGTAAGAAGTAGAAAGTACAGGTATTTGAGTTCAACATGTAAGAAGTAGAAAGTACAGGTATTTGTGTTCAACATGTAAGAAGCAGAAAGTCCAGGTATTTGAGTTCAACGTGTAAGAAGTAGAAAGTACAGGTAATTGAGTTCAACATGTGAGAAGTAGAAAGTACAGGTATTTGAGTTCAACATGTAAGAAGTAGAAAGTACAGGTATTTGTGTTCAACATGTAAGAAGTAGAAAGTACAGGTATTTGTGTTCAACATGTAAGAAGTAGAAAGTACAGGTATTTGAGTTCAACGTGTAAGAAGTAGAAAGTACAGGTATTTGAGTTCAACGTGTAAGAAGTAGAAAGTACAGGTATTTCTGTTCAACATGTAAGAAGTAGAAAGTACAGGTATTTGAGTTCAACATGTAAGAAGTAGAAAGTACAGGTATTTGTGTTCAACATGTAAGAAGTAGAAAGTACAGGTATTTGAGTTCAACGTGTAAGAAGTAGAAAGTACAGGTATTTGAGTTCAACATGTGAGAAGTAGAAAGTACAGGTATTTGGGTTCAACATGTAAGAAGTAGAAAGTACAGGTATTTGAGTTCAACATGTGAGAAGTAGAAAGTACAGGTATTTGAGTTCAACGTGTAAGAAGTAGAAAGTACAGGTATTTGAGTTCAACATGTAAGAAGTAGAAAGTACAGGTATTTGTGTTCAACGTGTAAGAAGTAGAAAGTACAGGTATTTCTGTTCAACATGTAAGAAGTAGAAAGTACAGGTATTTGGGTTCAACATGTAAGAAGTAGAAAGTACAGGTATTTGTGTTCAACGTGTAAGAAGTAGAAAGTACAGGTATTTCTGTTCAACATGTAAGAAGTAGAAAGTACAGGTATTTGTGTTCAACATGTAAGAAGTAGAAAGTACAGGTATTTGAGTTCAACATGTAAGAAGTAGAAAGTACAGGTATTTGAGTTCAACATGTAAGAAGTAGAAAGTACAGGTATTTGTGTTCAACATGTAAGAAGTAGAAAGTACAGGTATTTGAGTCAACATGTAAGAAGTAGAAAGTACAGGTATTTGAGTTCAACATGTAAGAAGTAGAAAGTACAGGTATTTCTGTTCAACATGTAAGAAGTAGAAAGTACAGGTATTTGTGTTCAACATGTAAGAAGTAGAAAGTACAGGTATTTGAGTTCAACGTGTAAGAAGTAGAAAGTACAGGTATTTGAGTTCAACATGTAAGAAGTAGAAAGTACAGGTATTTCTGTTCAAAATGTAAGAAGTCAAAGTAAAAAGTCCTCAGAAAAATAAGTAGTGGAGTAAAGTACTGATACCAGAAAAAAGTACTTAAGTAGAATAACAAAGTATTTGTACTCCACTACTTCCCACCTCTTGCACTGATGACTGTGTTCTGCCCCCCCGCAGAGAGTCATTACAAAGAGAAGCTGCAGCGCCGCTGCTGTAAGGACGGCCTCAGGGAGATCCCCATGCCGTACTCCTGCACGCGGCGCTCCCTCTACATCACCGAGGGCTGGGAGTGCATGAAGGCTTTCCGCTACTGCTGCGCCACCTACAGGAACCAGGAGTTTAACACCGAGATTCCCACCATCCCACCACCCTTTACAACACCTCCGCCCACCACCACCACCACCACCACCCCTCAACCAATGTTCACTTTTCTACGGAGGGAGATGGTTCTCAATACTGAAGAAATACGACCATTTCGTAAGAACTCTACCTCAACCTTTTCCCATTCTGTAGTTAGCGAGATATGTTGAGACATTTAAACATCTTTCTTTGAAATTAAGTGGTATAATGTTTTTAGGGTTGCTTTATTGTGTTAGCATGCTTTTATGAACACAAAGTACAGCTGAGGCTGATGGGAATGTTTTTAGTTTTGTAGGTTTTTGGTCACAAACTAAAGTTTTAGACAGATTAAGAAAGTAGCTGATGCTTTTGTTGAATATAAAGTCAGGGATAAATCAGTTGATCATGGGCATCAGGCTAATCCAACGTGGAAGTGCCTCAAACCTATATTTTCTCTACTTGCCAGCAGAGTCAGATTGTTTAGAAGTTTATAAGAAAATGAACTTAGCAATCATGAGTTCATGGTCTCAAGAGTTAGTTTGAGTATTCCTTATGATCTTCATTTGTAAATGATGGTCCCATTTCGAGTACAATGGAATTCACTGTCATGTTATTGTCCATTTAATGTAATGTAATCAAATTCTTTATATAATCATGGAATAATCTGAAGGCTGTCCGTTATTTTGAAAGGTAAGAACATTGACTGAGTGTAATCTAACTTTACTTTAAAATAGTTCACACCACGCCTCCTCTTCATTTTCATTTGTAATAATCTTTGGCTTGAATCACTTTGTCTGTTTCATGAGGAAGGTTCTTACTGATCTTACTGATAGACAATTCCTATCCTTTTTCTGTGCATGGAATTGTTGTAGTGCTTGGGTTGTGGATTTATTAACAACTTTGAGATTCATATTTTTAGAGACGTGTAATCATATATAAATGTGTTCACATAGGTCGGCAAATTGGTACTGATGAAATATTTCGGCAACAGAGCCCACAGCCGGATTTTCATTACTCTCTATTAGTAACCGCAATAAAAAAGGATATAGATGATGAAGAAGAGGTGGAAGCGGACGAGGAGGAAGAGTGGGAGTATCTGGATGAGACTGAAGTTAGTCTACGATCCAAGTTCTACGAGTCTTGGCTGTGGACGGATGTTGACCTACCAACCCAGGCAGACAGAGACGGGTGAGTGAAATATTAGAGGCAGAAAAAGATCTCTAATTTAATAATTATAATACAATAATACATGGTATATTTATAGTGCTTTTTCAAAGATGCTTTACATTACATTACTTGTTACTTGACACTTGTATCCAAAGCGCCTTACATGCATTCAATAGTTTACTTTAGATATCTAGCAGAAAAACCATCACTCTTTAGTTTGGGTTTGTATAAGTGCAATTTATTAATGATTGTATCGCAATAAGGTTGTTGCCGGTTGGAAGCTGTTCGGGAGCAGTGTGAAAATAGCCTAAAATAGTGAACAAGCTTTCATCAAATGGAAATAAAAAGAAATGGCAAAAGATGACCACCATTCCAACAAAGACCTATAAATGACCCATAAGGGACGTTGTTCAAATTATAATGGAAGTTTCTAAATGAAAACAGCATTTAACCTTTCATTCAATTAAAATGCTGTCTGACGATTTCATTGTCACTTGAATTGTGGCTTGAACCAATTCAAAATGGTGCTTCATTCTTTATATTTTGATTTATCATTGAAATGCTGTCCATTATACATCAAGTTGTTTGAACATGTGCTAGAAAATTGCAATTTTCTTTCTTAATATAGCTTGAATGAATAGATACAAATGTAGTGTATTGTTTATTAAGCATTTTAATGTTCATAGGATGCACTCCGAGTCTTTCCCTCTCACTTTTAAGTTTATCTCAACCTTTTAATTAAGTCCCCATAGATAAATGCAAGTAATATAGTATAAGACCTGTTTCTTGAATGCTCTATTTCAAAAATAGATCTTACTAAGATGTAGATCGCGGATACAAGCGGCCGAGATGGGTTTCTCCGCAGGGTGGCTGGTGTCTCGCTTAGGGATAAGGTGAGAAGTTCGGTCATCAGGGAGGGACTCGGAGTTGAGCCGCTCCTCCTTCGCGTCGAAAGGAGCCAGTTGAGGTGGTTCTGGGCACCTAGTTAGGATGCCACCTGGGCGCCTCCCTAGGTAGGTGTTCCAGGCACGTCCAGCTGGGAAGAGACCAAGGGGTAGACCTAGGACCAGGTGGAGGGATTATATCTCTTCGCTGGCCTGGGAGCGCCTTGGGATCCCCCAGTCAGAGCTGGTTGATGAGGGGAAAGAAAGTTTGGGGCTCTCTGCTGGAACTGATACCCCCGAGACCCGACCACGGATAAGCGGGAGAAGACGGATTGATGGATGGATCTTACTAAGAAGAACAAAGGATGAAACAAGTGGCACAGTTGTATTGTGTTAAGTGTGGATATACATTTTTAAATGCAGGAATGGACCAGCAACAGGTGCCTTAAAAAAACAGCCATTGAAATGTGATAAAAAGATGGATCAGGGCCAATGTAAAGCCTCTGTTTCATCACATGAGAGAAACCCACAGCACAGTGAACTCCCTGCATTGCATCATGTGTTGTTTGTTCAGTGATAACAGCGGGATAAACAGCTCAGAGTAAACAACACTGACTCCGTTTCCTGTGTTAAACAGACATTCATGTTGGTACACTGGAAAAATGCTGCTCCAAAATCAAGTAAATATATAATTAATTCGCTTTCAATAAGTGAACAAATCTGCCAATAGAACAAGTGCAAAATGGCTTGGTAAGATTTCTTGAAGTAAAGATGGGATATTTAGAAGAATTAGATCTTGTGTAATTTATACCCTTCAAATCAAATCAAGTTTTATTTATATAGCACATTTATAAACGATTTTTGGTGGAGCCAAAGTGCTGTACATATAATAAAAATAGCCTACAGTAGAGACACTTTACAGCAAATACAACAGCACAGATTGTTCAGAATATCAGTATGAGAAAAAACGACACCCTCTGACAACCCTTGTTACTGTTACAAGGTAACTTGTATTTTGTAAATTGTGTAACTTGCTGCTGTTAAAAACCGTCAAACTATGTGCAATATGTGCAATATATACTTTATATACATATGCCATCTTTAATAACTGTAATATATACCGGGCTGCTAAATCCTAAGAACTGCTACAGGATCTGATTTGTAGATTTGATTTGTTTTTGATCTGTATTTTTGAAAATGATGTACCTTTTTATCTTTTTATAGCATATTGTTTATTATATTATAACTTAGTACTTTTTTTAACGCATGTAAGATGCAACACTAAGCTGTCTGTGGCTCTTTCCTGCTGTGACGCTGCATATTCCCCTCCGTGGGACTAATACAGGTATTCTGATTCTGATTGCATTTAGCTGGGAAAACTTATTTTGAACTATATTTGACCAAAATTAGGGAATTTGTAACAAAAAAAGCCAGAAATGCTTCGACATTTTCTGTTTTCTGATGTTAGTTGGAGATTTTCCTCTAAAATAAAATGTTTTTAAGAGACTTTGACTTAAAAAGATGCTTAAGATGCCTTGTCTAAAAACAAGACTTAAGTTATTAAGTCTTATATCAAGTGTAACGACATATTCTGACTAGAAATTAGACAACTATACTTGGCAATATTTTACATTTTTGCAGTGTGCCAAATGCAGATTCTGTATGTGTGCAATGTCCTTCTTTGCACTGTGAAAAACATCAGCTAAACCTCATGAAACTGGTGTATGATGAAGGGTAAAACATCTTATATCTGTGGTTTTGAACACAAGAATCTGATCAACAGATTGGCGTCTGCGATCGTGGACCACCCGTTACCTGACAGCATTACAGAATGGGGGGTTCTGGCCATAAGCGCCTCACCACACACAGGTATGAGAGGCAGGGGCTGAGATGGTAGTCTCAATGTGGCTCTTACTTTTTTTGTGACATTTTTTGTGACACACCTGCCATTCTATCTTCATCCATATCCTTGTCTATATATATTCTCAATAATCTATTAACCAACCTGTGACATTCATTTGTTTCATTGTATCGAAAAAAGGTGAACACATTCATTGATTTAATAGTTGCATTACTTTAAGTGTGAATCCTAGCAAATCTAATTCTTAATAGTAATACAAAGCAAAGGCTGAACAAATTCTGCAAAAAACATCCTGACTGAAAGTTGAACCTCTAAACTCAAATGATGAAGGAAAATGCTACAAATATATTCAAACATTTTCAGAACCCCTGATGTTTTTCTGAATGTCCGCAGGTTTCTGTGTAGCCAAGCCTTACAATGTCAAAGCATGGAAACCTTTCTTCGTGGATTTGAAGCTGCCGTATTCCGTGGCAAGGAACGAGCAGGTCGAGATCAAGGCTGTGGTCCATAACTACGGCAACGACGAACTGTATGTAAGAAAATCACCCAAAAACTATACTACTGGATGCAAATATGCAACATGAGTAGCCTGATAAATAAAAACAAAAATCTCTAAAACTGAAAAATATGTCTTATGTGAGGCTTTAGGCTAATTCTAGCATCACAGTTAAACATTTTTAGCTGCTAATAATTGCTCCTAATTTGGTATTTGAAACTGAGGCTGATAGGAATGAGTTTTGCAGGTATTTACTTGCCATTTACCCAAGAATATCACTTACCATAGAACCACACAGGTGACTCTTATGGTGTCGATAGAGGAAAGGTCAGGGGATCACCAATAAAACCCTATCTTCAAAAAACGCTTGGTGTCCACTCAAACTTAATTCAATAAAATAAGTTAAATATATTGTATATAAACTCTCTGTCGGGGTAGAGTGAAGCAGGCAGGACCCAAACGCAGATTTAACAGAACATACATTTATTTCAAGGCTTCACGTAACAAAATAGAGCAGAACTCTCTCCCCCGTGAACACAGTCAACAATAAAAAGGAACTAACAATGACAGACAGAAAAACCAGAACTTAAATACACACAAGACTAATCAAAGAAACAAGAGACAGGTGAGGAGGGAGGAGAAAACACAGGGGCACCAGGTGAACACAATCGGGTAATCAGACAGGAGGGAACACAGACAGAAAGCAACAGGCAAGACAGGGGGTGAACACTTTTCAAAATAAAAAAGGAAACCAAAGACAGAAAAAGACAAGACAAAACACAGACAGATCTTGACATTACGGGCAGGAAGATGGCGTAGGCCGCGATGGGACCCTTCTATTGTCAGCTGGATCGCCAGAGCACTGGGATCGAGAGCAGGAGCTGGTGGGTCAGGCGTAGACGGGACCCTGGACGGAACAAGGGCTGGTATCAGTGGGACCCCCGACGGAGCAAGGGCTGGTGTCGACGGGACCCCAAACAGGACAGGACATGGTGTTGGCAGGAAACCCGGCGGAGCACGTGTCGACGGGACCCCCAAACAGGACAGGACATGGTGTTGGCAGGAAACCCGGCGGAGCAGGTGTCGGCGGGACCCCCAACAGGACAGGATCTGGTGTTGGCAGGAAATCCGGCGGAGCAGGTGTCGGCTGGACCCCCAACAAAACAGGTGTTGGCGGGACCCCCGGCAGGACAGGTGTCGGCGGGACCCCCAACAGGTCAGGGCACGGAGTTGGCAGGACTCCCAACGGAACCCCCAATGGAACAGGACATGGGGTTGGCAGGATTCCCAGCGGAACCTCCAAAGGAACAGGACATGGGGTTAGCAGGACCCCCGGCAGAACAGTAGTCGGCGGGACCCCCAACAGGACAGGACACAGAGTTGGCAGGACCCTCAGCGTAACCCCCAACGAAACAGGACATGGAGTTGGCAGGACCCCCTGCAAGACAGGTGACGACGGGACCCCCAACGGAACAGGACACAGAGTTGGCAGGAATCCCTGCGGAACCCTCAACGGAACAGGACATTGAGCAGGGACGTGCACAGACATTTGGAGGGGCTATTGCTCCTAACTAGAAAAAGGGCCCTGCCCCCCCCCCCCCCCCCGAAAAAAACACAAGACCTTTAGAATTGTTTTCTAAATGAAATCCAGGGACATTTTTTGTTTAGCGGTCCATATCTCATTAAAAATATCTAGTGTTAGTAACTATTAAAGAAAAAATGGGGACAATTCTGTTTTAATGTAGTTTGACCATTGTAACTGCTGTGCAGACATACTGATGAAATAGGGCTTCTATAATTACCTTAAATAAACTCACTAATTAATGAAACTAGTTCAATAAGCATTATTCTTATTCTTATCATTCTTTATGAGCGCAGTAACGGTACAGTATCTAATTACTTATTTATTTAGTATTCCATAACTTAATAACAGAGATGGTCAAACTGAAGTAGAGACATGGCAGAAATCCTACAATGAAGCGGGACAGTGAAGTGTTCTCCCGTGAGAGGGCGATCAAGAGAAGACAGAGAGCGGCCCCGTTGAGAGAGTTTACGGAGCAGAGTAAAAGACACAGAATACTTTGACTTTGAGATAAATAGGGGGAGCCCAAAAGAATCGTCACACAGATTAGAAAATGTTGAGTTTCTGTAGATAAAAGTTCTTGAAATAAATAAGAGTCATTGTTCATTACAGTTTCTGAATATTTGTTTTATATTTGTGAATATGTCTGGGTGTTGCCAACTGTACGTGGCGGCGCTGCATTCTTTACGCTACTTACGTTGCTATGGTTACGGCGGCGATGCGGCGCGGTATTTGACATTTTCATATTGATATTTTTTTAACTCTGCTTTGCAATAAAAAATATGGCGAAACAAAAACAGCCAAGCCTCGCAGCTTTTGGATTCACAAGCAAAGAAGCGAAGGAGTCTAACAATGACAACGTGAACGGAACAACTTTTAGTTGGCCGGCTGTAAGCGGCGTTAGGGTCGAGTTTGACAGCTCCACACCGAGGGAGAGGCCTGCCGATGCGGAGCCTGAAGAGGCTTCAACAACGGCCACAGCCGCCGGCACAGCCTGTGCTAGCGAACCTGACGATGCCCATGACCTGCCTTTTAACTGGACACAGAAAAGATGGAGTGAGTGGAATGAAAGGTATCCATGGCTTTTCAAAAAACATGTGGATGTGAGATTTGCAAAGAGGCAAAACAAAAGTATATTGATCTCCCTGCCGCTCGCAGATCCACCGGAGTGCACCTTTCACAAGAATGGATTCAGGGAAAAGCCAGCTCAGCTGTGATCAACAGAATAACCTGTGGAAAAAGATTTATGAGCACCATAAGAGCCAGGCTGAAATGTTATTGCAGAGTGTTTTTATAGCAATTGATCGCATCCGCGCTGCTGCGCCAGTCAACAGAGCGTGCGTGTGACATATTTAGTAGCAGGATGTGCGCTGAAAAATAGGGCTCCCCCGAAAGCAAATGGGTAATTTGAACACTGAAGAAGCACAATAACAAGTATAGCCTATTTAGATTTGTGGGTGTAAATAATCGACGGTGTCAAGAAGAAGTAAAGTCCCCTGGTTTGTCCCTCTAACTGCCATGAGAAAACTCAAAATCTATTTAAGCTTATTTAAAAACGGGGACATTTCCGGGGACAGATTTACCCGGGGATTTGCCACCAAAGCCAGGTGGGCATTTGGTATGATCACCATAGCCATATGAGGCCGGAGGGCTGTCCTTTGCTTTCAGCTGTCAGATTGTAAACAAAGTCACGTGACTGGGGGCAGATGACAGCGCTGACAAGGTGAGTTTTATCGCAGCGAGACGCTACAATACTAATTGTGGGCTTATCAAGTTTATTCGGCCACAACAGAAAAAACATAAACCTCTTGTTCTCTCCAGAGGGGCAACATTAGCCCGTACCTGTGCACGTCCCTGACATTGAGTAGGGACTTGAGTAGGGATTGTGACACTCTCCTTACTCTATTTTATTTGTATTACTTGCACTATTTGATCTTTTTGTATCTGTTTTATTGTGTTGCACTGTTGGAGGAGCCTGTGACCTAAGATTTTCATTGACATATCTACACTGTAGCTATGTACACATGACAATAGAACCTTGAACCTAAGTCTTAAATGAATACATCTTATGAATGGTTCTGTTTAGGTGAGGGTGGTTCTGATGAAGACAGAAGGCATGTGCAGCATTGCCTTTAAAGACAGACACACACAGGAAGTGACGCTGGCGGCCGGCGCTTCTGTTGCGTTGCCTTACACCATCGTACCGCTGGTGGTGGGGAAACTCCCTCTGGAGGTGATGGTGGTAGCCAGAGACGCAATGGGAGGAGACCGCATCCAGAAGCTTCTAAATGTGGTGGTAAGGAGATCTTGATGATGAAGATGGGATGGCAGTTTAATCACGGTGTTAACAGGAAGCCAGGAAGTTTTTTCTAAAACTGTTTCCTTTTCCGAAACAGATGGATGGAGTCCAGAAGACTGAAGTTTGGAGTGCAGTGTTGAACCCGTCGGCTGAGGGAGGTAAGGAGATTGCAGCGATGCATCATATATTTTCAACCACATGTTGAATGAGACTTCATGTTTGCACCATGCTTTCTCTACTCAAAATGAGTTGATTCAGCCTCTAGTGTTTTGTTGTTGGCCGAGTGACAAATTATAACCTTTTCCCTTCATCCATTTACTTATTGTTTTAAACAGCATTTCTCCTATTTTGTATTTGTTGGCATCAAGTTTAAACTGTCAGGGTTTGGGGTAAGGCAGGACCCAAATGCAGTAATAAGAAATAACAAAAAGTGAGCTTTATTAAACAAAAGCTGATGCAAAGAAAAACAAGAAACAACAAAGTATTAATAAGACCGGATAACAAGACAGACATGAACAACCTTACTAGCATGGGCAGACAGGTAACCAGGACAAAAAGACGACGACCTTACATGGAGCAAAGGGGGAGACGAGACTAAATACACAGAAGGGTAATCACAGGAAAAGACACAGCTGGGCAGGGGAGGCAGAAACACAAGGGCAACAGGTGAACACAATGAGACAATCAGTCACAGGAGGGAAGCTAAAGACAGGAAGGAAAACACAGGAAGTAGGACCAGACAAGACACAAGGAGGAAAACATTTCAAAATAAAAGGTGGAAAATGGCAACATAAATCCAAAACCATAACATAAACTAGTGGACGTGTTCTTTCAGAAATAAAACTAAAATACCTAACCTGAAATGATTTAATTAATCACATATTGGTGTCTTCATTATGTAAGCAGTGGACCTCTTTAGGTTCTGGTTTTAAATCATGGAGTGTTAAATGTTTCTCTCTGTTTCTGTCCACTACAGGAACTCAGACGGTTAGTGTGGTCAGGGTCAACCTGGACTCAGTTGTGCCAAACTCTGTACCGGAGACGTTCATCAATGTCAGAGGTAAGTCAATGTGAGAGAGGGGGTTAAGGTCAAGAAATGAACCTAGAATTCTCCCATTCCTGACTCCTCCTCTCCCCTCCAGGCAATGTGTTGGCAGACAGCATTGATAACTCCATCAGCGAGGACTCTCTAGCCTCCCTCATCAGGATGCCCGGCGGCTGTGTGGAGCAGAACTTGGCCAGCATCACTCTGCCGCTCATCGCCACCCTCTACCTGGAGACCACCGACAGCTGGGAGAGTGTCGGGGTGCAGCGCAAAGCCGAGGCTCTCCGCTACATCAGGAGAGGTGAGAGAGAGGGAAGGAAACACGTGGAGGAATGAGAGATGGATGAATCCTAGAACATGTAAAGAAAAGTAAAATTGATGATTGATGGCAATTCAAATGCCATGGATATAGATAGATCATGTTGTAGAATCTACAACATGATCCATCTATATCCATGGTTATCTATGTCTATATCTACATCCATAGATGGATGGATGGATGGGTATCTAGTAAATTAATGAAGAGGATGGTTGATGGATAAACTGCAGCATTTGTGGACGGATCGATAGCTAGTTAGCTAGATGTATGATTGATGATTTTAGAACATGCTTTGTTTTGAGTACTTCTATCCTTCACATCACATCTTTAATTTCTTCCATGTTGTGTCCAGGCTATGAGAACCAGCTGGCGTACAGAAAGAGTGACGGCTCTTATCCCCCCTACACGAGGGAAGGCGCAAGTACATGGTACTCTCAAGATTTTACATTTTACTTCAAAACTCTTAACACATCAGCTGATTTCAAAGAAAATGTGCACTTCTCTGTGGACTGACCTGCATAAGATATTTAGAGATCTATAAAATATTAAATGTTCTTGTAGCTTCATCCATTAAATACTGTTGGTAAGATTAAAAACGTGGTTTTACAAGTGACCAAATGAAGGCTAATCACTATCCACCTGACTTTCAGGATCACAGCGTACGTGGTGAAAGTGTTCTCCATGGCTCACTCCATCGTTGGTATCAACGAGCAGCAAGTGTGCGAGCCCCTGCTCTACCTGGTCAACAACAAACACAAGATGTCTAGGGGGAACTTCGTAGAGGACAACCCAGTTTACAGCACCACCATGACTGTAAGACACAATTAACAATACACCATGGTCCAATTCCAAACCGACCATTACACCGTATCCCCTACTTCCACATCGTTTGGGACTAGATTTTTGCAGTTATATTAAAAAGTGTTTTAACCACTTAAGATCTTTTACAACAGTCCTCTTCCTGCCGCATGGAGGGGAGTTTGTCCCAAAGTGTGCTGCTATATGCCCTACACCTTAGAGAGAAGCCTCATTCAGCTGTGTGTGTGATTACAGACGAAGTTGGAGTGTGTAGGGGTCGGTTTGGAACTGGGACTCCGTCACCCTTTTGAAAACTGATGTAATCTCTATCCACAGGTTTTTCTTTCTTATCTCCCTCCTCGTTGTCCTTTTGTCTTGTAACCTTTCAATTCATTAAAGTTAATGATTATCAGAACAAGACAAACCTCCTACCAAATAGATTAAAAATCAAAACCCATTGTATCTAGGTTCTCTATTTATTGTATTCTATTACTCTGTCTCCAGGGCGGTCTTCGTGGAGATGACCCCGAGACGACCCTGACCGCCTTCGTCCTGATAGCACTCGCCGAGGCCAAGCATGCCGGGATCAGCTGCGTTAGTTCAAGCGTAAAGGTAATTCACACAGAAACATTACTGCAGAGTTGGTTCCCTGTTGTCTGTTTCCTGTGGAGCTCTTACAAATATGTACAACCTGCTGCAGGTAGTTATCAGAAAGACAGCTGAATACCTGAAGAGAGCGCTGGTGACGCCGGGCAGGAGGCCGTACACTGTGGCCATCGCCTCCTACGCACTGGCTCTGCTGGGGAAAGATCTAAACTACAACCCGACACAATCTTTACTCAGTGCTTCAGCTCCAGGTAGCTCATACACTCACACATGTTACACTTGTACAGTACGGATAATGTTATCTATTGTCATGATCCGTCTTTGTGTGTCCTGTTTTAATTTTCAAAGGTTCTCTCTTCGTGTGTCTTTGTGTGTTCCCGCTATTTGTGATTGTCTGACCTGCACGGATCCTATCCACCTGTCTCTAATCACCTGTTGCCCTTCTCTTTTTGCCGACCCTCTCCAGCTGTGTCTGTATGTGTATTTGGTCCTGTGTGTGTATATGCCTGAATGCAAACAGTTTTCGTTTGGTTTTGATACTTTCCTTTAGTTTTACTACCTTGCCTTACCTCTGTGTACAGTGTTACAGTTTTTGTGATCAGCTTCAGCTAATTAAAGCTAATAGTCTCTGTTGTGTTTTTGTAGTTTGGCTCCAAACCCCTTAATTTGTGACACAATATCACTAGAATAGGACTAACCCTTACCCTGGAGCCGACCACTTTACAGCAATAACAACATTTTACTCTTTCAGAAACATACAGACCAGATAAATACTAAAGATAACCACAAAGACACATAAAACAACTACTAAAATACATAAAACCACACAGAGAAATGTATAACAACTATAGACAGACATAGAACAACTACAAAAAAGGCGTTGCACATACTGTAGGTGTACATTGCCTATTGGGCCTTTTATCTCATATTCTGCCCATTGTAGTTTGCAACAAAGTTAAGTTCAATCAACCAATTCCATTGGTATCTTCGTCAAGTGTGATCTCTCCTTAACCTGTTGAACTCCATCGACCCGGCTTCTTAATATTTAATAAACTATGAATGTTTTATATCCATATAACGGGAAGAAACTCAGCTAACTGATCATTTTTCTTTTTAAAAACCACAAAGCTAATGCTCAGCCTGTGCTAACGGTGTGTGCACAGAAACTCACTCATAACACCCTTATTACTTATCGTAACTGAAAATCCAACGCATCGATTAGATCAGTGATTCTCAAATGGGGGTACGCGGACCCCTAGGGGTACGTTGGGGTACTGTAGGGGGTACGTGAGATACAAAACAAAAGTTAATTAAAAAATAGCATGCATGATTACGAAAATAATCTTAGTACAACAAGTTATATAGAAAACACAATTGTATATAAAATATTCCTAGAACCTAGGTCCTCATATAAACATTCAAATGTGTGTATTGTACTTTATAGTTTTTCATAATATGTAATTTCGATTCACTTCAATTGAAAAACTCCTTGGAAAAATCTGTTTTAAAAATGTGGTCTTTTTTGCATGCATAAAGGGGAAAATATCCTTAGTTGGTTGTAATTCATGCATGAAGGAGTTAATAAATCACACACTGATGGAACATCACTATATTGTAATGATTTATATCGCTTTTTCTATCAAAAATGTTGGGGGTCGGTCAGGGGGTACTTGGCTGAGAAGATGTTTCAAAGGGGGTACATTACTGAAAAAGGTTTGAGAAGCACTGGATTAGATCGTGAGAATGTGTCTGTGTCACTTTGAAAGGATTTCTGATCGTCCATAAGCAATAGACCTACTTTTCCATTTTCAGTTATCAGAGTGTGAGACAGGTTCGCTCTGGGGAAAACTGCATGTGCGAAGCCCCCACTTTTTTTTGTTAACGTGTGGTGTGGAAATTCCCCTTCGATTCTATTGGCTCTAACGGTTAAAAAGAGATGTCAATCACCAACATCGACCAATGGGTTCCAGAGAAACGGCAAAAACACCCATTTCCACCCAAATCACCTCAGAGGTGGAGTTTCTTTTTGCTAAATCTGTCTAAAAAGGTCAAATATCACTTGTTTTGCATCAGTCTTGATACAGGGTACTTATTATATGTTGTATTTGGATTCCTAAAGCTTTTAGTCTACTAACCCATCATCCAAGGGTGGTTTTCACTATAAGTAAAAAAGAATTGTTGGACAGACACTATAATTTACATTTTTTTACTATGTTCAATCTGAATTTCTTTAAAATAAAAAACATCTATATTGATTCTGACTCTTCTACATCCAACTCACAGGTTTATCATTACTTTGAGAAAAAAGATTATTAATTTTCCCCTTTTAGAAGATATGGTCATTTGTTCTGGAAATGTCATTTTCGAGCCTGAGGCCTGAAAAACAGGCTCGGGGTCTAACAGGTTAAACACAAAAATATATATTAAAGGTCACCTATTATACAAGATCCACTTTTTCATGTCTTTTATACATAAACATGTGTCCTCTCTGTATAAAGAAAAAAAAACCTGTCTGAAAATGAGCTAATATTATTTTGGCCACTTTGTGATGTCATAACGATGTGTTGTCTTGTGTAACCATTAGCCAATCACCAACCACGGTAACCCCCCCCCTCACCTTATCACCTGAATCTCCTCCTAGAGCACCATTGAGTTATTTGTAACCAAATGTCTCTCAGAGGGGCGTGGGGAGGGGCTCCTTATTTTCATCTAAAGCAACAGACAGAGAATCAGCACTTTGGAAACAGGGCTGAAACAGAGGGGATTATGGGTAATGCTGCAATGATCTGCTTGGTATTTCAGCCAATCACTTCAGAGACATGTTTTGTATATATCTGAGACCTGTGATATATTGATGAAAAACAGTATAATACGAGACCTTTAAAGCTAAGCTAAAGTGCTTCTGATCTGAACTCTTCACTGTCTCCTGTGTCCTGCAGGTGGCAGCCACTGGCCCGACAGTAAGAACACCTTGTTCACCTTGGAGGGGACCGGCTATGCCCTGCTGGCTCTGGTCAAGTTGGGACGCATGGAGGAAGCTGCAGCGCCGTTTAAATGGCTGAACAGCCAGCGGAGGAGAGGAGGGGGCTTCGGCTCCACTCAGGTAACAGCAGGAGAGTTTAGTATGATCTGCAAATCCAATTTCTTGTTTCGCTTAATTCACCTGCTCCGGTCTTTGATAACTGCATCCAGTTTATTTTGCCTTGCTCATTTATATCAAAGTCAACTTTATTGTCAATCTTTCAGTTTGTGTGTACAGAGAGAGAGATCAAAATACCGTTTCCCACAATCCCAAATACAATAACAAATATATATAAAATATGTATATACCTATATATATATATCAACAGACACATTTTTCCACATATGCACACATTTAAGACATAAATAAAAAGCCCAACAATCAATATAAAATATCAGTCAATTCAATAACTTTAATATCAATCGAGAAATAAGGGAAACACCTCTCTGGATAATGCTAAATAGTCCAACAGCAACATAAAATAGAGCCACCAAATTCCTACAGATGTTCAACGCTTTTTAAAACAGACACAAATCACAAAAACAGAAGATTATAACTTTCATGGTTATAATCTTTTTTACAATATTTACTGCTGGGTAGTTTGTGAGTTTCAACAAGGGTTCAATGAAGTGTATCTAACCTATTTGCTTACCAATAGTATTAAAAAAGTCTCCAATATTTAGTGGAGTCGAAGTGTGAAGTCAAGCAAATATACCTAGAAATTGTACTTAAGTTCAGTGCTGGAGTAAATATCCTGAGTTACCTTCGACCACTGTGACCCACAAACAAGATCAGATTGACTGTTTTGATTTTAGACTTCACTCTGCTTGGTGAATAATATGATGGCCATTTTTTAATGAGGTATCTTAAAGTAAATATCTTCTAAAAGTAAAAGAATAAAAAAATCAAATGAAGTGACCAACACTTATTGGCTTCGGGTTTCTCACTCACTGAAATATCCAACACTAATGATTACAAAATAACATGAGAAAATTCTATTTATCAATGTTAGAAGATGTCGTTACTCCAAATGTGGAACATTTGTCCAATTAAATGATTGAATCTCTATCCTCTCCCAGTCCACCATGGTGGTGCTGCAGGCTCTGTCTGAGTATCTGATCCACAAACCTCCTCCTGCTGACCTCAGTCTGGACGTGGACGTCAGGTTAAGAGGACGCAAGGAAATCCGTTACCATTTCAACCCCGAGAATTCCTACGCTGCTCGCTCCTCCAGGGTGAGAGACATGAAACTACACGTTAAACCAGGAAGGTTCATCAGTAGAGACACTGAGTGTATCAGGGTGTTCTCTATGGATGTTTAACACGGCTCACAGTTCATGTTAACCACATCAAACTGTGATCTTTGAGGACCTTTGAGGATGTGGGTGCACCAGTGGCAAAAACAAGAGACGTATTTTTCATGAACTTCACATTTCTTCTTCTCTGGTCTTGTCCGTAGCTGCCTACTGGTCTGGATTTGGAAGTGGAGGCTCGAGGGAATGGACAGGGAATACTGGAGGTATGATCACGTTTTATTATGTTATTTTAAACATAAAATCCCATATGTATAATCAATAATAATAATACATTTAATTTCCAAGCGCCTTTTCAGGTGCTCAAAGACACTTCACAGTGGTATTAAAAAGGAAATACAATAAAATTAAAATATCAAAACAGCAACACAATGAATGCAATCATTGGTACAATCACATGGCCAAAACTGTAGATCAGGATTGGTGTAATTTTGATTTTAATGTTTATTTTATTAGCTTTTCTTTTTAATGACTGATTTGAAATGCCATTTTCTTAATGTCTTTCATTTTTTGTAAAGCACTTTGAATTGCCTTGTGTTGAAAAGTGCTATATAAATAAACTTGCCTTGCCTTGATAGTTTCATTAAATAATTAAACCCATACGAAACACAATACAGAAATACAGAAGGACTTACTTTCAAATCCTCTCTCTTTTTTTACCATTTTGTATGATTTGTAACATTTGTTTTCCTCGTGTTTCTCCAGGTTGTGACTTATTACAACCAGCTGCATGAGGTGGATGAGAAAATGCCCTGCAAAGACTTTGAGCTCAAAGTCAACATAGAAGAGTCCAGCGGTAACTCAATATATTTTCAATTCAATAAAACAGCATACTGTAGCATACCCAAATGCAGTATATTATCATGTACACATAAATCCACTACTAGCCAACCCAACCTCAGACCATTACATGTTTTGTTTCTATCCTGTACCAGAAAAGCCTCCAGCAGATGTCGAGAAGTCCTACCAGATCACCATCAAAGTGAGGTGAGTTTTTGTAACGTCTTGACCTTCTCTCCTTTGCTCAAATTAAACAAGTTGAACGAAACACTAATTACCCTTTGATTGGTTTCTTTCTCCCCCACAGGGCTTTGGGACCTAGAGATGTCCGGATGGTGGTTCTGGATATCAGTCTGCCCACCGGCTTCACTCCAGAAAACTCTGACCTGGAGATGGTACTCTGCCTTCAGATCATCCAGTTTAAAGTGTTGAGTGTATTTCCAAATATGAAACATTCATAGAAAAATGTAATAGGAAAGTTAAAGCCAAAAGAGATGCTTAATATCCATCCAATCTTTATTCCAGACTCAAGGTCCATATCACACAAAAAGACAAAACACACATCAATAAATAAGATAAAAAGCTAAACATAAAATCAGTCCAATCACAGCGAGCCACACATGCTCACTGTCTGTAGAGGCTGTTGCGCCAATGTCTCCAAATCATGGAAGAGAACCGGGTAGAACTCTTCACAGGGTTAATTAAAATCGAAATAACATAATTGTCCGAGTCTACTAGGCGACACATGAATTTGTACATTCACTTTCTTAAAAGGGCTTGACAGGTAGGTACCCCCAAGTTAACAAACAGCTGGCTGGCACTGTGCCGTCTCGGTACCCTCAGCAGCAACCGTAAAGCATCATTGTATGCAACTTTTAGTTTGTGCATGCTTCTAGCCTTGTAGTTACTCCACAGGTGAGCCTTGTAGTTACTCCACAGGTGAGCCTTGTAGTTACTCCACAGGTGAGCCGTGTAGTTACTCCACAGGTGAGCCGTGTAGTTACTCCACAGGTGAGCCTTGTAGTTACTCCACAGGTGAGCCTTGTAGTTACTCCACAGGTGAGCCGTGTAGTTACTCCACAGGTGAGCCGTGTAGTTACTCCACAGGTGAGCCGTGTAGTTACTCCACAGGTGAGCCGTGTAGTTACTCCACAGGTGAGCCTTGTAGTTACTCCACAGGTGAGCCTTGTAGTTACTCCACAGGTGAGCCGTGTAGTTACTCCACAGGTGAGCCTTGTAGTTACTCCACAGGTGAGCCGTGTAGTTACTCCACAGGTGAGCCGTGTAGTTACTCCACAGGTGAGCCGTGTAGTTACTCCACAGGTGAGCCGTGTAGTTACTCCACAGGTGAGCCGTGTAGTTACTCCACAGGTGAGCCGTGTAGTTACTCCACAGGTGAGCCGTGTACAGAAAGCTTTAAAAAGTGATACCTTGACATCTACAGAGCACTTGTGAAACGGACGCATTAATATGTTTGCCTGGGCATACAGTTTGCAGCGCTGTCTATGGATGTCTTTGTCATCTGTGAGATCATTCGAAATATAATGACCAAGGTACTTGATCTCACTGCACACAAGAAGAATGTTGCTACTGAGAATACAATGAGGAAATACAGCCTTTTTATCCTCTTTACTTCGTACAATCATGATGCTACTCTTCTTGGCGTTATACTTAATATTCAAATCAATGCCATACTGGGAACAAGTCCTCAGAAGCTGTTGTAAGCCAGCACTGCACGGGGAGAAGATGATACTTTTAATACTTTCAATGCAGAGTTGTTTGCTTATAACTTTGAAAAACATGAAGTGATGTTTCTGACATGAATAGTAATCTCCCATGTTCACAAGACACCATGTACGTACGAACATAGTTAGTTTGAATGGTTATTTATTACATTTATGTTACTGGTCAGTCATTCTTGGGGTTATTTACATGTGTTAACTCACAGATAACAGAGGATACATTTGAAGGTGAAACATGTCACTTGATGGTGCAGTACATACAATGTTTCAGAGCAAAATCTCAATCAATCCCTTTAAGAAGATAATACGTGATAATATGAGAGGCCTGGTTTTCTAACTCTAACTCTGTGTGTTTTTGTCCAGTTGTCAAACTCCGTGGACCATTACATCAATGACTTCAAGATCGTTGATAACCTGAGTGACAGAGGCTCTCTGATCCTCCACCTGTTCAAGGTTTGTTTGCAAAGAGAGAGAGTTTTTGCACATTTAAAACTGTCCTCCCATAAAAACATGTCAATAATAACAATATGTGATTCCAAGAAGCAGGTAACTGAATCGTCTGGATAATGTTGCTTAGTTAAACCCAGAGGAAGTCGTTTATACAGAACTTTAGATTTGAGGAAATTCAATATTTTACACAGCACAAAAACACTTTTCTCTTTAAGTCAGTTTTTGCATCAGTACATTTCAATTTGTGTGTGCCCTTTCTTAGAAGCAGGTTTACTAAGTTATCTGGATAATTAAAACCCAAAGGAAGTTATTATTACATTACATTACATTACATTACATTACATTGCATTAGCTGACGCTTTTATCCAAAGCGACTTACAATAAGTACATTCGACCAGGAAGACACAACCTTGAAGAAAACAGAATCATATAAGTACATCAGGTTTCATAGAGCCAAACATTTCAAGTGCTACTCAACTGGCTTTAGGTAATCCAGTCCTTTATTGGTATATAAGTGCTTTGTTAATAGTTCTAATCGCTCGAAGTGGAGTCGAAAGAGATGAGTTTTCAGTCTGCGCCGGAAGGATGTGTAAGCCATCTGCTGTCCTGATGTCAATGGGGAGCTCATTCCACCATCTTGGAGCCAGGACAGCAAACCCACGTGTTTTTGCTGATGGGAACTTGGGTCCCCCTCGCAGCGAGGGCGCAACGAGTCGTTTGGCTGATGCAGAGCGTAGTGCACGCGCTGGGGTGTACGGTTTAACCATGTCCTGGATGTAGGAAGGGCCAGATCCATTCGCAGCATGGTAAGCAAGTACCAGTGTCTTGAAGTGGATTCTAGCAGTTACCGGAAGCCAGTGAAGGGAGCGGAGGAGCGGAGTGGTGTGGGAGAATTTAGGAAGGTTGAAGACCAGACGAGCCGCTGCATTCTGGATGAGCTGCAGAGGTCGGATGGCACATGCAGGTAGACCAGCCAGGAGGGAGTTGCAGTAGTCTAGGCGTGAGATGACGAGAGCCTGGACCAGAACCTGAGTCGCTTTCTGGGTCAGCTTGGGACGTATCCTCCTGATGTTGTAAAGCGTGTATCTGCAGCAACGGGTTGTAGCAGCGATGTTTGCAGTGAAGGACAGGTTGTTATCTAGGGTCACACCCAGATTCCTTGCAGTCTGAGTCGGGGAAACAACTGAGGTGCCGATGTTGATTGTTAGGTCAAGAGTGGGACAATTTTTTCCCGGGAGGTAGAGCAGCTCAGTCTTGTCAAGGTTGAGCTTGAGGTGGTGAGCAGACATCCATTGAGAGATGTCTGCTAGACAAGCAGAGATGCGTGCGACGACCTGGGTCTTAGACAGTATTAGAACTGTAGACGGATCTGTTATACCGAAAAGTCAGTAAATCAGCTCTTTGGGGGTCCATATGTTGGAACTGAAGCTTGCTAACTTGTCTGTAATGTTTGTTTATCTTCTCTGTTGCACTAAATGATCTTTATCCTCCTCTCTCCTCGTGTCAGGTGTCTCACAAAGAGCCAGAGATCCTGATCTTCAGGCTGCAGCAGAGGTTCAAAGTGGGCCTCCTGCAGCCGTCCTCCGTCACCGTCTACGAGTATTACAACCCAGGTAACATCCTGACCAGCACAGATTACATCCAACTACTGCAGAACTCAGAATACATCCTCTGTTCTTTCAGACATCCATTTTATAAGATTTTTGAATCTATAAAGTTATTGCACATTTTGGAATGTAAATAAAACACAATATGTGCCTGTGAAACTTAGTGAGGCAGCATACCACTTAGAAAACTCACGTTAAGTACAAATGCAATACTTGAATTAATGTACTTTCATCATCTTGTCAACTTCCAATGCATGTGAAAAGTTTTAGACCAAAGAAAATGCCACATATTGACTATGTAGACAATGCTCAGTATATTAATTTTAAATGATCAATTCAAAGTGAATATTGCATCTCTCAGTTTGATGCTGACAGGCTGTGTCTCTGCTCTCTCTCAGATCACCGCTGCACTCACACCTACACTCCCAGGGAGGACCGAGAGGAGCTCACTCAGATCTGCAGAGACAACGTCTGCCGCTGCACACAGGGTGAAGTGTGCACGAGTCTGCAACACGGTGTCAGATCCTGTGTGTGTTCATGGTGTGTGTATGTTTTAATTTGCTCATAATCTCCAGGTGACTGCTGCATCCCGAAGAGCGAAAGTGAAAGCTTCCTGAACAACGAAAGAGAGACGTTTGCATGCACGACTCTACACCACGGTGAGATACACTGTCACACGTTTGCAACTTTGACACACACACACACACACACACACACACACACACACACACACACACACACACACACACACACACACACACACACACCCATACCATGTATACACCACTTCAGGGGACATTACATTGACTTACATGCGTTTCCTGGAGACTTATCCTAACCTTAACCATAACCAACACATGCCTAACCCTAACCCTAACCCTAACCCTTACCCTAACCCTTACCCTAATCCTAAACCTAACCAAGTCTTCACCCTAAAATTAATGATTCCCCTTATGGGGACCTCCATTTTGTCCCCATAAGGGAGGCGAGTCCCCACACGTGACTGTGTAAACAGATGTAGGTCCCCACAAGTATAGTAATGCTAGACCACACACACACACACACACACACACACACACACACACACACACACACACACACACACACACACACACACACACACACACACACACACACACACACACAGGCACACGACTATGGTTAACATCGGTCACAACAAGTCTCAAGCCTCTACCTTCAAACACCAGTCAAAGCTTTTACAATATTCCAGATTGAGTGGCCAATATATATTTATATATGTATAAAAAGAATGCTGCATTAAACCTCAAAATGAAATGATCACCATAGCTTTTTGAAAGGGTTATTACTTCACCTATAATATGTTGTGTGAATCCTTAATATGATGTCTTGATTGATAGCAGAAACTTTAATTGTAGAATTATGTTTTACAAAATATAGTGAAAAAGAATCAATAGTAATCTTAAATAGTTTTACACATTTGGCTAATAGCTCTTGAGTAGTTGAAGGCTGAATCCAGCACATCTATAGGTCAAAAATAATATAAAATTAAATGATTGAAACTATCAAGCCGCACATTTGTAGTTATTTTTTGGCTGGTAGAATTTGTTGCAGAAATTATAATAGGTTTTGATATGTATATATAAATAGACATTCCCGTTTTACCTTTCTTAGTAAGGCTATTTTTTGTAGACATGAAAGTTTTGACCCCACCAAAACATTATTACTAATCCTCTCTAAACCATGAACATAACCAACAAGAAATTACACGTGCACTGGAAAAAATGCTGCTCCAAAAAAAAGTTAAACAATAATGAAAACAAGTCGTTTTCACTTGGAATACGTTCAAAGATCTGCCAATAGAACAAGTGAACATGTGCTTGGTAAGATTTCTTGAAATAAGAAAAAATGTGGTTTAGATGTTTAGATGTTTAGATGTGGTTTAGAAAAACCACATCTTGTAATTATCTGGGAGAACTCATTTTGAACTATATTTGACCAGAATCAGGAAATGTTGTGTTAAGCTGCAAATACTCAAAAGTGTTCAGTTTTCTGATGTTAGTGAGTTTCTAATAAATATGTAAAGAAATATGTGTTTAATCTGAGATACAACTCTTTTGTTTTGACTGAACAAGATGAATGCATTGTCTAAAAACAAGACCCGATATCTCAGTGCAGTGTTACTTCTCAAGTTATTGTGTCTTATATCAGGTGGAGAGACATATTCTGACTAGATATTAGACACATATACTTGGCAAGATTTCGAGTTTTTGTAGTGTGTTTCTTGTGCTTCAGTTTTCCAGGTGAAGGTGCTGAGTGTGACTCAGAGTTACTACGACAAATACGAGATGGAGATCACACAAGTTATCAAGCTGGGTGAGTCTGGTTTATGGTTAACAGCTTGTATGTCAAATGAAGGTAAAGTAAGATAATAATTGCCCCAGTACAAGATATCTACCAAGTAAAATACTTTCATGGAATACTTCACCTACAAAACACATTTGTATATCAGTCGCTCTCCCTTAGTTACTTTGAATTCTTGAAATAACCAGAGAACAGTCTGAATGTCTTAAAATAAATGGGGAATGTGTTTGCTATCTCTGAAATAAATCAAGCTTTATGATCAAATTCTCATTTATATTCTCACTACTTACCGAACATGTGCATTTTCATACATCCCAGTTATTAAATCCAACAAAACGTTTCTTCTAATACCATTTTTCAATAGTTTGTTAACTTTGAAAGGTTATTTTCTGCTGTATTCCAACATTCAGAGGAGAATTCCTATTGGCTTTTTTGTCAAAGGAAAAATGGCAAGCTTCCGAGTCGGCCTACAAAAATACGTCATCACTCCACCTCTCTATAATGCCTCTGTACATAAACTGAACCTCTTCCTCCTTCCCTCTAGGAGTGGAGTCTGGGGTGGAGGTGGGTCAGAAGAGGGTCTTCATGTCACACGGAGGCTGCAGAGATGACCTGAACCTGCAGCAGGGCTCCCAGTACCTCATCATGGGGCCCAAAGTGGACCAGTGGAACATCGACACTGACACCAACAGGTCAGCAACTAAAGGATTAGTGATGTTACGTTCGCAAACGATCCGATTCTTTTGAACGGCTCTTTTGGTACGAATGAAGGGAACCGAGTCGTACTTGGTGAGAGCCGTTCTTTTTATCGTTGGTTCACTCCCTGCCATAAATCCACTCGCCTGTACGGGAACTTGCTTTCCTGAATGCACATTTGCCATAGATGATGGCATAACGCGTGCTGCTTGAGTAGTAGTTTGGCTGGCTGAGAGATGTAGCAAGTTATACATTTTCTGTGAGTAAAAGTAGATTTCTGGCAATACAGTCAATCATTATCCTGGTGATAATTTCGCAGATAAACCTATTAACTCCGCCCTCTTAAAAAAAAACTGCTCTTTTGAACGGCTCTCGGAAAGGAACGGAGTCATAAGATCCGGCTCCCTTCAAAGAGCCGTAATTCCCATCACTATAAAGGATAAATAGACTCGATACATGAAATATGTTGAGTTCTTGGTTGATTCTAGGAGTTTAAGTTTACTAATGGTACAACAGAGGGTTGGAGGTTCATGCAAACTGTATAAGGTACCAAAGAAGTACAAGTGGCAAGCTTGCAGACGGACTGTAGGCTCTTCTGTAGAACTAAACATTATACCAGTATGCCAACATATTAAAAGTCATGCCATCCTGAAAATCTAACTCAATTAATTAACAGGTAAACCTACTGGCAGCCATGTTTGTTTGCCCATATAAGGGGTAGAGTCAAACTCTTTAAATAGTCCCTTTGTTTTTATTTCCCATACAATCCATCAAGATTTAAGTTATTTATTAAAACAATTACAGAGAGACAATTCACATTTTAGCTGTGGGTCTTTTTTCAACAATGCTCAATGAAAATGTATAAAAAAGAAAATAGTGTAAGTAAAACAAAATTAGATAAGACATCCTGAAATGAAGACGTAGGGATAGCCTACATAAAAACAATGATTTTTGGTAGGAACAGTAATTGCAAATGAATTAACTCTAAGGTAAACCTTTACTATATGCTTAATCCAAATTATAAATATGTACACAGAAGTGACAACAGTTTGGAAAACAGTTTAACGAAAGTATATAATGGTAAAAGGGCAGTTTAAAGTGCCATTAGTGAAACTGCAGTGTATTTAATCGTTTATTTGAATCGGGACAGTTTACATTGATGAACACTTTAAAACAAAATAATGCTTACAAGTCTAAATGAGCCGTATATTAGCTTTGAGCTAATTTCCATCCGTAGGTCCGTCACATACAACATTTAAGAACATGACATTTATATACATAACAAAAATAAATACATGATATGCAGAAAGAGCATGAGCAGCATACAAGCATTCAACACATGGCAGTACAATGTAGCAGCTACGACATATAGAGTGCAAGATAAGATAAAAGTGCTACCTAAAGTGCAAGAGGAGATGCCCCTGTGTTAAAGTGCATTTAGCGGTGATTGCACATCTGTTCGTTTCTCAACCATTCTTTGAGCTGACCTTTGAAGCTATTGAGAGAGGGACGATCCCGTATCTGAGTTGGGAGGCTGTTCCACAAAGAGCTGTCTTTAACAGAGAGGACATTTTGTCCACAAGTGGTCCGTCTGCGGTGGACTTCGCAGTCTCCTCTGGTTTCTGACCTAGTGCAGCGTCCAGTGTGTGTTTTGTAGATGAATTCCCCTAAGAGGGGGGGGGGGGGCAGTCCATGTAAACATTTATAAAAAAAGCACATACTTTTAAAAGACTTAAAATGGTCAAAACTCAATAAATTGTGTTTCTCAAGGATGGTGCAGAGGTGGTATGAATGTGGCTTTCTGTCAAACACCTTGATAGCTCTCTTGTACAGCTGTTCTATGGGTTTCAGGTTTGTGGCTCAAGCAAACGACCAGTTTGTCAAACAGTATTCAATGTGGGATAGAATCAGTGGAGGTGTGACTTTGCAGCATTGACAGTTAAGAAAGGTCTAATTTGTTTAAAATGTTGCAAGTTGAATTTAATGGTATTGGATACTTTCTTAATATGTTTCTTAAAAGTCAAGTTCCAGTCCAGTATGACTCCAAGATACTTGAAGTGGGGGACTAGTTCTATTTCTGCTCCGTTTAACAACACATTGGATCCTTCGATTTTGACTGGTCGTTTACTGAACATCATGCAGACTGTTGTTTTTGCATTTAACTGTAAGCTAATGTTGTTCAGCCAGAGGTGAACCTTGTCCAAAGCATTTGAGAGACAGGATGAGATCATTTCAGTGTTTTTCCCGTGTACAAAGATGACCGCATCATCGGCATACATTTGCACATTCAACTCAGGACATACATTAGGCAAGTCATTAATGTACAGAGAAAACAGTAATGGTCCAAGAATGGAACCTTGTGGAACCCCAACAGGGTTCACAAGGTCGGGGGATTTGGCTCCGTGGACCAAAACACACTGTTTTCTGTTCGATAAGTAAGATTTAACCCAATGTATTGAATCTGCCGAAAAATTGAAATGAGTCAGCTTTGTAAGGAGCACTTGGTGGTCAACTGTGTCAAAAGCCTTCCTGAGATCAAGGAAGACTGCACATATGGGCTCGTGTCCAACATACATTTAACCTTTTCCACAAAGACACAGTTAGTGGAGTGGTGAGCACGAAAACCAAACTGCATGTGGAGCGAAACCTTTATCTAACTGTTTGGTGATTAGTTTTGACGCCCATTTCTCAGCTACCTTAGAGACACAGGGGAGGATGCTGATTGGTCTGTAATTGGGCATCATTGCCTTATCCCCAGATTTAAAAATCGGTGTCACCGTGGCCACCTTCCAGGATGATGGAAGTTCCTTCGTGCTGATATTGATTTAGTAGCATAGTAATTGGTTTACTACTAGACACATACAAGTTATTCTGAAGAAGGGCGCAGATACAAAATAAAACCTGTGAACTCGTCTCCTTCCTCCCCGTCCGTCAGGTTCATCTACAAAATATTTAGGATCAGTATAATTGTATTGATCGGAAATCTGCCTTTCATTCAGCACTGAAACACATGAGCACATACTAGTGTATTAAGCTCACACAGACTGTTTTCTGAACATATAGGTTCACCTGCTGGATTCAAAACAGAACACATGAACCAAAGAAAGTGAAAACCATAAAGCAGATTCAGGCAGTAGTCGTATATATTCACACTTAAAGTATGAGCCTAGAGAACAGTACAGCTTTAAGAGAAGATCCTTTAACAACAAACACTATATGATCTTTTGTAATCTGCTAGTTGTAGAAATGTAACAGTAATCTGATTACATCTCTTTTCATGTAATTGTAAGAGAATACAGTTAATTTATTTTTGTATCCCGATTATCCCGTTAAAATCAATCCGTTACTCCCCAAGCCTGCTCAGACATTACAAAACATTTCATACATTTCCTGGTAGAGTTTTAGGTTTTAAGGTCAAATATTTAGGGGTGTGTTTCAGACTGTCTTCTAACAATGGTCATACATGAGCTATTTGTAGCAGATCATTTCCCAATTTCTTGCACATCTTCTAACTTCAAGCTCAAGGAGTAAAACGACTAAACTGTGTGAACTCGTCTCCTTCCTCCCTGTCCGTCAGGTTCATCTACATGTTGGGGAAGGACACCTGGGTGGAGCGCTGGCCGACCCCTGCAGAGTGCTCCAGCAGTCCTGAACTACAAGCTAAATGCAAGAGCCTCCATGATACTGCAGAGGAACTGTCTGTCAACGCCTGCAGGCTGTAGAGCTGTGTGAGAGGCAGCTGCACACCTTTAACTGCACGCATGAGGAAGCAAAGATCATTTTAGGGCCTGTAGAAAAGGGATTGAATAACATGTTTGTTTTTCAAAATGTAAACAAATAACTGTAGGTGCAGTTGTCATAAAAGTAAAGACTTAATACGACTAGCTGCCACACATTAATAAAACACCAAACAGCTTCATTATTATAGCTTTTATTCAATGGTTTATTTTACAAAACAAATGAGTATGCCTAACATAACAAGAGCTCAAATAAAACGTACTGTTGCCAAAGGTTTTATAAGTACAACATGATATAGCAAAACACATTGGTCTGTATAGTCTTCATTTCAAATTGAAATTGTCTCATGTTTTACAAGTTAACAAGTTAACAAGTTAACAAGTTAGTTAAATTGCTATATTTTTGGTAAAATGGAAAGTAAAAACTATTGTGGTGTCTCTTATTCCCTTTGAATGATGACATGTAGAGTCGTATCTATCTACTCCATGCTTAAACACCAATACAGAGAACAAATAAAAGGTTTAAAAAGTGTGTCCTTGATTCTGTACATTTCATTAAATAGGCAATTTCATATACATTATGTTTACAATAAAAGGCATTACATAAGCTACATAGTCATTAGAGCCAATGCTCAAACACAACAACAAGCTAAAGTCATATGTTTGTCTCAGAAAGAAACATCTCATTCATAATGAATCTCTTGAAAAGCTTTTAAGCACATTAAGCACCAGCACCTCTTTTAATCTGCTCTGATTGGTTGGCTGGCAGGCTCTTTTGTGATTGGTCAACTGCTTCGAGATGTCCCGCCCCTTAGCCTATCATGTACAATGTGTTGAAGCGCTAGCTGATCGAAGAGTGTTCCACAGGGATGTCACTATTTTCCAGAATTATTTACATGCACACAAACCTATAGAACTACAGTGAAGGGAAAACCCAATAGGGTCCCTTTAATAAAAATGATGGGCTGCAGATTCATGCTGTGTCCTGGTTTTGTTGATTGTGCTGTACAATGCAGTTGAGTCCTCCGTGGCAGACATCTGACTTCTGTTTTTCACAGAGAAACATTTATTTAGAAGTGTTCCAGATTAGATATTCTACATATGGCCAAACAGTGGTTGTAAAACACATAAAATCACATCAGGCAGATGCAAAAGTGAACAGGTGTTGATTTTATTCCAAGTAATGTCAACGTTAAACTCAGGGTAATGTTCCCGTGAGAGCATCTACTCACCTCGGGGCAGCGCTGTTAAATTGGACCTCAGCGTACACAACACTATCCTCGATGTTGGAGGAGAGAGGATCCGACTGGTTTTTGGAGAACTGGACACTGGCATAGAGAAGCTCCTCCGGAGGACTCTGAAGGGCAGATATTGCATAGACAAGATTACCGAAAGGTGTTTGGGTCTGTGTTGCGAGGGAATATGTGAAGGTTAAGAATATCCAATGTTCCCTAAAACAATCTTGAAGTTTACTTGAAGCTCTGTCTTGGAGCGGCAGTAGCTCAGTGTGTAGGCCTGGGAACGGAACAATTGCTGATTCAAGTCCTGATTGGACCAAAAACACTTTGAATGCATCTTTTAAGGCATAAAGAGTTTTATACAACAAACACAGCAGCATAACAGCAACACTGTACACTAAAAGTGCAGTAAAAAGAGCAATCAAACATCTACAGGAAACATGATTAATGCACATATTACCAGTAATCAGTAGTGCAAAAATATATATATATATATATATCTGAACTGAACTGTTGAAACCTTTTTTGCTTTTGTTGATTATTATTCCTTCTCACCTGTTTGCTGTGTGGCTCTCCGGGCTCAGATGATCGCTTGGCAGATTTCTTCTTCCTGGTTAGAAGAATAACACATTGAAGTTTTAGCACTGTGCTAAACTGATTAATGAAGACAATATTTGTCATGGTACTTGGTCATTATCCTTTCCTAATAACACCATGCAGTCAAATATCCAAGATAATTGCTGACTTCTGGAAAGCACTAAATTATACAAACACACAAGTTTGAACTATTTCATGGTGTTCCTGACTGTGGGACCTGTTTTCATAAAAGACACTCAGACTCATTGTTACATTTCAAGACCAAAGGCTTTTCTGCTTTCACATTCCCACACATCTAACCCTCCATCTTGCGGTATTACATTACATTTCACTTGTTAGATGCTTTTATCTAAAGCGACATACATACTCTCAATACTGTGGAAAATCCCCACGACATGTTGACTGCAGTGGGAGTTGACCCTAACTAATCTTTAATAGGATATGACGATCACATTTCTGAAAATTCAGTCTGACAGTGAGTTTGAAGAAGAGGAAGATATTGAGATGAGAGATTTACAGTGTTGTCCTAATTTACATATTTGATTGTCCAATATTATCAAAATATCCAGCATACCGTGTTTAGTGCTTTCACTAAACATTACCTGAATGAAAGTGGACTGCTTACCTGATCAGTAAAAAGATAGAGAGGAGGATGACTGCCAGGACAACAGCAGTGGTGATTCCAGCAGCTCTAGATGTCCATGCTCCTATGACAAGACGAAAAAAACACAAAAAGCATTTATTAAAGCTTGTATGAATATAATATGAAAAGAAAAACCTAGATCTTACCATTCAATACATTTTCAAAAAATATTGATCATGATCAGAAACAGCTCAGAAAAAACTTTTTTGTTTGTGTATTTTCAATACATTCAAAAGATTCAAGAGACCTGAGGTGCGTGTGAATTATTTTGAAATGATAAATAAAAAATAATATTAAATGTGTCAAAGTTGCAATCGGACACAATATAAAAAACAAGTGAAGAGGTTAGTTGGCTTTCCAAGTTTACTCCAACAAGACCCAGACAAAGTTAATTGTCAGTATCCTGCTCTTATAATTTTGTTTCCTGTTTCTGTTTTGTCTTAGTGTTTTCCCGCCTGTGTAATTGTCCGCCCCGCCCTGATTCTTTCCAGGTATGTGATCTTCTTGCTGCTCTTGTGTTTTTTTCCTGCCATCTCCAGCTTTGTCTTGTCGGTGTGATTAGTCCTGTATACATGGGCAATAAGCAATCTGTATGTAAAAAACCACCTGTATGTAAATTGTAAATAAGCCATCTGTATGTCAAATATGTCTTAAATGATATGATGAATTGGAAATGGGGGACCCTGATGTAAACAAGACGAAAGTCTTTCTCTGGTCTGCATCCCCTTAACAATTGTATGTTTTGAGCTGTACTGTACCCAATATACAAGCTGTTAATAAACTTTTCAATCAATCAATCAATCAATGGGCGGCGCCAGGATTTTTTTGCTGCAGTAGCTTTGCAGTTGCTATATTACATTACATTTAGCTGACGCTTTTCTCCAAAGCGACTTACAATAAGTACATTCGACCAGGAAGACACAACCTTGAAGAAAACAGAATCATATAAGTACATCAGGTTTCATAGAGCCAAACATTTCAAGTGCTACTCAACTGGCTTTAGGTAAGCCAGTCCTTTATTAGTATAAAAGTGCTTCGTTAATAGTTCTATCGCTCGAGGTGGAGTCGAAAGAGATGAGTTTTCAGTTTGCGCCGGAAGATGTGCAAGCTATCTGCTGTCCTGATGTCAATGGGGAGCTCATTCCACCATCTTGGAGCCAGGACAGCAAACCCACGTGTATTCGCCGATGGGAACTTGGGTCTATATGACAGCACGGCGTTGCTAGTTAATTTTCAAAATAAATAAACAAACAATACCAGTGGGCCAAGCACGAGCCTGTTCATATTGTAGCGTTCACCGCTATTCAAGATCACAGATCACGAGCCTTCAATGTCGAAAACGTTCTCTTTATTTTCTGGTATTGACGGCCACAGCCACGCCTTACAGAACCAATCAATAGTATAACACTAACCCCACACTCGAACACAACTCCTACCGTCTCGTACTCCCTCCACACACACCCACACACCCACACACCGGAAAACGCACACACACACCTGGAAGGGGCGGTCTCTCCCTAACTCCCACCAACAACATTGCCTAAATAACTTTACAAATGTACTAAAACTGTGCACATCTGACAACTGAAATAACTATTTACTTGGACACGCTACAATATTATCCTTAATATTTACATTAAAAACATTCCTTTGACACTTATAACTACGGTGGCCCTGAAGTGCAAGACACCACAGCATTTCAGAAAACACTACAGCATTTCACAAAACACTACAGCATTTCACAAAACACCACAGCATTTCACAAAACGCTACAGCGTATATAACATTACTTTGCAAGGTAAGCACAACCAAAATAAGTTTGTAAAAGCAGAATTTGAACACTCTTTCTGTGCTCCTACAATATTTTTGTATAATACCATTACACCCTGAGCGTACAAGTAGCCTACACAATAGCGATCGTTCACTGTTTCAACTGGCATGCTGTGGCATTTCACACACACACACACACACACACACACACACACACACACACACACACACACACACACACACACACACACACACACACACACACACACACACACACACACACACACACACACACACACACACACACACACACACACACACACACACACACACACACACACACACACACACACACACACACACACACACACACACACACACAGCAGTGGTGAGGATTTCAGCCTGCCACTGACGTTCAACCAGAAAACATCAGCCGTTAGCCGTTAGCTGTTAACAGTTAGCACACAGAGCTCACATCTGTTCAGAAACTGGACAAAAGTTAAACAAGTACAAACCACAGACTGTCTGTGTCATGGCGAATACAGTCGCTGGTTTATTTATGTCTGTAGGCCGTTGTTGTGAGTGTGGACGGAGTAGGCCTATATACAACGTTAGCTTAGCCTGGTCGACCCGATCTTCATTCAGAAAACAAGCATTTTAAAAGTGTTTTCACCTGCCGTCTGTCTGCAGACTTGTCAAGCATTAATTCATGGTTTTTACTAACCGGTATCAGTATGTTGTTACTTCGGCATCATTTAGAAACGTGTATTACAATTTAATCACGGTAAAATATGTTCATTTTGTTGTAGTTGTAGCTCCCGAGCCAGCGCGTCTTGTTTGAATGATGCCAGTAAACACTGCTGGCAGCCGCGGTGAAACCATGGGTGAAACTCGAGCGATGGGAGCGAACAACGACCCCTGATAGATCTCGCGAGAATGTGTATAAATATAGATACATTTTCATAACAAAACAATGGGGTTGCTAAGCCGTTGCTAGGCCAATTGTTGGAGTTGCTATAGCAACTCCAAGCTACCCCCTGGCACCGCCCCTGCCTGTATATAGGCATTGCATTTTCCTTGGACCTTGAAATAACTTTGCTTATCTTAGAGTAGATGTGGTCTGAGCATTGGCAAGTGAAATATCCGTGCATTAGAAGGTGTTTTACGGTCTTTGCCGCATATTAGTTTGGTGCGTGTGAAGTGAATGAAACCTACCAGTCACAACAATCTGATGAAAGGTGGAGTTTTGACGTCCTATTTTGTTCTTGGCTCCACAGGAATAACTCCCACTGTGTTCAGCTCTGAAGTCAGTGATGGTGAAGATCTGTCCTGAAGCTTTTGGAGAGTCTTCATCCTCCTTGTACCAGGTGTAGTTAGCTGCTGGGTTAGCATCACTGCTACAGGTCAGAGTCACTGAACTGCCCTCCTCTATCTCAGCAGAGGGACTCACTGACACAGAGGGAGGCTTTGGAGCATCTGCAGGGACGATATTAGGAGATCGTTCATTTGTTTGTTATTAATAACAAACAAATGTACCAGACTCTATCTCCACAATGGCACAAAGCAACCAACGAATCCCTACTTATAAATACAGTGTTAGCATAAGAGGATTGCGGTTGTTAATTACTCACACAGAACATCTACAAATAGAGACGTAGAGTTGATCTCTCCAAATTGATTCCTAGACTTGCAGTAGTAGATCCCGCTGTCCTCAGAGCTGATGGAGGTGACATGATAACTTCCTTCTGCTCCCTGAAACAGTGTTTGGTTCTCCTTGTACCAGGTGTAGTCAGCTGCTGGGTTAGCATCACTGCTACAGGTCAGAGTCACTGAACTGCCCTCCTCTATCTCAGCAGAGGGACTCGCTGACACAGAGGGAGGCTTTGGAGAGTCTGGAGGAGAATAGTTTGCACGATTAATGAAAAATTGCACCCAGCTCACAACTACAAAAACATCTCTCCATCAAGGGTCTCAAAATTAGCAGAAATTGAAGTAAGTATGAGAATCCTGAAAGACCCTTTTCAAGTGATAAAAACATGACAATTATTGATAGACTGTATTTCCTCACATTTCACATCAACAGAGATCATGTCAGATGTCCGTTTCCCCAGCTCGTTCTCAGCTGTACAGTTATACTCTCCGGAGTCAGAAACCAGGATGGAGCTGAAGACAAGCTGTCGTTCTTTAGCGAGTGGATGAAGTTTCTGATTTCCATCCGTCTTGTACCAGGTGTAGTTAGCTGCTGGGTTAGCATCACTGCTACAGGTCAGAGTCACTGAACTGCCCTCCATGATTTCATCAGAAGGACTCACTGACACAACGGGAAACTTCAGAGCATCTGGATTAGAAAACAACAATTTTGTGAAGCAAATGTTAGATTCAAAGGAGGTTAATTCCTTAATGCGTCCCTGTTATGTCGTTCAATATAATTATGTTAGTTAATTACACCATGTAGCGAACTCACATATCAAAGGAGAGCTGTAATTCTCGTGTCCTTGCAAAGCGCAAGAGATGATGTCTCCAGGATAAAACTGGTCTTTATATAAAGGTCTTTCCTCTTTGATGATTTTCTTGTTGTTCTTGAACCAGACGTAGGAAACACCAGCTGGACTGCAGCTGCTGCGACACTTCAGCTCTGCATAGGTGTAAGCCTGGTGGACTGTTGATGTGATCACCTGCACCTGCAGAGCTGGATATGTTTAACATTACAAATACAAAGTGATAATCTTTAAGGTTGTAAGTGACATACTTTCAGACATCAGACATAACAAATATCAATCAACAACTTTATTAATCCCTCAAGGGGCAATTGGTTATAAACTGGTAAATATAAATCTAAAGTTATGATATGTACCACAAACAGAACTGGTTATGAAGGTTAGTTACGAGAATCATTCAAACTTTTGTTATGGTTTAATATAAACTTTAGTTGTAAGCATTTCTTTATATACTTTGCCAAGTGTTCACATGTTTTAAATCTTGAGGAGCTCAGCTATGAGCTAATCATGAGAACTTTTGTTTTGCAAACATTCTTTATTTTAGAAATGTTATAAGTAAATGAACAAGCTTGTGACTATTTCACTGTACATAGCATGCTTTAAGTATATTTAGATGATAATACATTGAAAAGCTATTTGCTAACCAAATAGCTATGCTAATAGCTTTCTTACTTGTTTTTAAGTAACAAATGAATGTTACTTGTAACAGAAAATGTTTACAATGTGGTGTTAATATTTTTGTCTTAAATACTGTACATAACTTGATTCTTCTTCCTCTGATTAATTGAGATAATGTTCCTAATAATCTACAGTGAGCTATTATTTCAAATAAACACTTAGCCAAAGCATTGTTATTAAAGCCTGGTAACCCAAAGGCTATCTTTATGTTCAATTGCATATTTGCACATTGCACATTTAACACTAGAACCGTCAACGGGTATTTCACCCGCAGCTGTGTTTTGATTGTATGTAACTTTTTTCAATAAAATATGAAAGTCTCCCAGTCCGTGACTTTTCATGAAAGTGTGTTATGTAGCACCCTCTGTTGTTAAAAATTGTCAATATGAAGTCAGATTGAAAACATATTTTTCCATTTATACCTAT